CTACTACTAAAGGACACCAATAAGAAGAAGAGACCTGCTTGGGCCAAGAAACACGAGCAATGGACATTAGACCGGTGGAAATTTGGTCTGGAGTCCAAATTTGAGATTTTTGGTTCCAACCGCCGTGTCTTTGTGAGACGCGGTGTGGGTGAACGGATGATCTCCACATGTGTAGTTCCTACCGTAAAGCATGGAGGAGGAGGTTTTATGGTGTGGGGGTGCTTTGCTGATGACACTGTCTGTGATTTCTTTTAGAATTCAAGGCACACTTAACCAGCATGGCTACCACAGCATTCTGCAGCGATACACCATCCCGTCTGGTTTGGGCTTAGTGGGACTATCATTTGTTTTTCAACAGGACAATAACCCAACACACCTCCAGGCTGTGTAAGGGCTATTTTACCAAGAAGGAGAGTGATGGAGTGCTGCATCAGATGACCTGGCCTCCACAATCTCCCGACCTCAACCCAATTGAGATGGTTTGGGATGAGTTGAACGGCAGAGTGAAGGAAAAGCAGCCAACAAGTGCTCAGCATATGTTGGAACTCCTTCAAGACTGTTGGAAAAGCATTCCAGGTGAAGCTGGTTGAGAGAATACCAAGAGTGTGCAAAGCTGTCATCAAGGCAAAGGGTGGCTACTTTGAAGAATCTCAAATATAAAGTATATTTTTTGTCTAACACTTTTTTGGTTACTTCATGATTCCATATGTGTTATGTCATAGTTTTGATGTCTTCACTATTATTCTACAATGTAGAAAATAGTAAAAATAAAGAAAAACCCTTGAATGAGTAGGTGTGTCCAAACTTTTGACTGGTACTGTATATATATTTTTAAAACTTATTCTTGAAGAAATACATCCCCACAGCATGATGCTGCCACCACCATGCTTCACTGTGGGGATGGTGTTCTCGGGGTGATGAGAGGTGTTGGGTTTGCGCCAGACATAGCGTTTTCCTTGATGGCCAAAAAGCTCAATTTTAGTCTCATCTGACCAGAGTACCTTCTCCCATATGTTTGGGGAGGACTTTACTTAACTAATTATGTGACTTCTGAAGGTAATTGGTTGCACCAGATCTTATTTAGGGGCTTCATAGCAAAGGGGGTGAATACATATGCACGCACCACTTTTTCAGTAGAGATGTGATTTGAAAAAAACAAAAACATGTTTTGAAACAAGTCATTTTTTTCATTTCACTTCACCAATTTTGACTATTTTGTGTATGTCATTACATGAAATCCAAATAAAAATCCATTTAAATTACAGGTTGTAATCCAACAAAATAGGAAAAACGGCAAGGGGGATGAATACTTTTGCAAGGCATTGTACCTACCTCTAAAAGCTTACCTCTTGGATGAAGTAGGAACACTGCTGATAAGGAGTAGTCTGTGGAATATCATCTTTGTAAAAAGCAAAGCCATATGTTTTTGTTTTTTTCAAATCACATCTCTACTGAAGGATATATAATTTCAAAGAAGCCATGTGTTTCAGATTTAAGTTGAAAGGAATGCTTAGGCCTTGCTGTGTTGTTTATGAGCCTGGCCCTGCTTTGGTGAGTCTTTGTCATGCCATGTTCTTTAACTCAATCTTACAATACTTCTTGCCGCACACGCTGCACCACCTGAGTGGTCGGATGCATGCAGCAAGTACATACATATAACCCAAAGGCAGTTTTTATCTTCTTGGGCGGAGTTAGTTGTTAATGGCCTAGCCCTCTTCCAGTTCCACCCCATGATCCACCCTAAACAAGCGACAGGGTTTCTGAGAGGCATACGATGCAATGTGGGTTGAGTGTAGTAGGGCATGAAAACAAGGTTGGTATTACCATCTGGGAGCATGTAATGTGTGGTATGAAAGAGAGCTATAAATACATAATAATTCAGCATTCCAGCTTAGAGACCTGTATGTTTGGGACAAGTCAAGCTCCTAGCATAGGGAGACCCCTAGTAACTTAAGAGGGAGGGGAGTGAGGGGCCCTTTGCAACTTTGATTTTCAAACCCCCTGACCCTGCTTTCCCCAACTCCCAACCCTCCACTCTTTTCCCGTCCCATTTGGAACAGCTGTGTAATCATTTAAAACACAAAGTGTCTGGCCTTCCAATTAGTTTGCCATCACTGACCAGGAATGGCTCTCTAGGCCAGACTTTTTTTCTCGCTCTTGTTGCACGATCATCATTTCACCTGAAGTTTTTAACCACAAAGCAGTTTTGATGCCTCAGTACCTAGTAGCAGCTCTAAAATAAGGCAGGAGAGGAGAGTGAATTGAGGTCGCACAACTAGCTCTGCCTCCTCTCACACTGACTCCCTGACGGGGCCAGCTCCTCTCCTCAGTCCAGGCCCAAGGCTGCCTCTGGTCTGCAAATTTTTCCCCACCTGTTGTCCTCATCATTAGGTCTACTCTGCAGTTGGAAAAGAGCCATCAGATGTGCACGGCCGGATGTTGATGCTGAGGTGTGCTGGAGCTACGTCCTCAGTCACACACAAAAGTTTGGCAGGGATCAAAGGAGGCGTAAACAGGCCTGTTTCAGTAATGAATCCCAGGTCTCCTGAAAAAACACTGACGGTGGTTGCTGAGAGGACTGTCAGGGTGAAATGAAATAAGAGTTGCACTTAAATAGAGTAAAAATAACCATAGTCCTGTGGTGAAATTTTTTGAAATTCCCATGGCTGATTGTGGAAACTTTTTTTCATAAGGATGGAAGATGTTTGGATAAGTTGTTGACCAGCTATATTGATGCTGCCTGTGTGGTGTTTCAAAATATGTTGCTAATTATGCTGTGATGATAAGAAGTCCGCTTACACTGTACTTTGATTATAAAGGTTTATTCTATCAAAGATCACAGTATCAATTTACAGACATCTGCAGATATCTGGAGAACAACAGCCCAATCTGTTAATATGTTGTTTCTCCCCGTCCTTTGTTCAAAACATGGTATTTATCCTATGTAACATAAGATGGGTGGTTTTTGACAGACCAATCCCCGGCTTTCACATATCTCCAAATGTCCTCTATTCCAAGAAACCTATGTAGCAATGCTTTTCCAAATGCTTCAGCAAAGCAGAGTAAAGTTCATCTATTACACCATTTGCAAACATCAGCAAAATCAATAGACCTTCAGACACTACACCTGCATAACAAATGCTGTTGGTACATGCCATTTGTCACGTACGTTAAGGAACGGGACGGACCAAGGTGCAGCGTGAAAGGCGTACATGTTTATTAAAGAATAAACACACGACACAGTAACCAAAATAACAAAACTTAACCGTGACGGTCCAAAGGCTAACACACAAGCCTAACACAGGAACACAACAAAAACCCACAACACAGGCAGAAAAACTGGCTGCCTAAGTATGATCCCCAATCAGAGACAACGAGCGACCGCTGCCTCTGATTGGGAACCACACCCGGCCAAACATAGAAATACAAACCTAGAAATTCACACCCTGACCAAACTAGCTAGAGTTCTATAGGCCAGGGCGTGACAGTACCCCCCCCCCAAAGGTGCGGACTCCGACCGCACAAACCTGACTGAATAGGGCAGGGTCCGGGTGGGCTTCCAGCCTCGGTGGCGGCTCCGGCTCCGGAATGGAGCCGCTGACCGGAGCTGGACTTCACCCCGGTGGAGCGGACTGCTCTGGCTCCGGAGTGGCGCAGCTGACCGGAACTGGATCAGGCACCGGTGGAGCGGACTGCTCTGGCTCCGGAGTGGAGCAGCTGACCGGTGCCGGACCAGGCACCGGTGGAACGGGCACGGGCCGTGCCGGACTGGACAAACGCACCACTGGTCTGGTGCGAGGAGCAGGCACGGGCCGGGCCGGACTGGCGACGCGCACCACTGGCTTGGTGCGAGGAGCAGGAACGGGCCGGGCCGGACTGGCGACGCGCACCACTGGCTTGGTGCGAGGAGCAGGAACGGGCCGGGCCGGGCTGGCGACGCGCACCACTGGCTTGGTGCGAGGAGCAGGAACGGGCCGGGCCGGGCCGGACTGGCGACGCGCACCATTGGCTTGGTGCGGGGAGTAGGAACAGGCTGGGCCAGACTGGGAACACGCACCACTGGCTTGGTGCAGAGAGCAGGTACAGGGCGTTCCCGGACTGGGAACCGGCGCTGGAGGTCGATGACTGTCTCTGTCCTTTACACTCCATGCCCCGTCCTCCTCCAGTGAGGACTCCTCCTTGAGCCCCCACGAGTGCAGTGGTCGAGGCTCCTCTCTGTCGCTCCCCGAGCACCCTTTTAGCCCCCCCAAAACATTTTCTTGGGGCTGACTCTCCACCCTGATCCCTTTCAGGGCCTCCATCTTTCTTGCCAGATCCTGTCTTACATTTACATTACATTTTAGTCATTTAGCAGACGCTCTTATCCAGAGCGACTTACAGTTAGTATTATCTCCTGCCAGGTCCAGCCTCTCTGCTCCTCCTGGGCACGCTGCTTGGTCCATTGGTGGTGGGTTTTTCTGTCACATACATTAATGAACGGGACGGACCAAGGTGCAGCGTGAAAGGCGTACATGTTTATTAAAGAATAAACACACGACACAGTAACCAAAATAACAAAACTTAACCGTGACGGTCCAAAGGCTAACACACAAGCCTAACACAGGAACACAACAAAAACCCACAACACAGGCAGGAAAACTGGCTGCCTAAGTATGATCCCCAATCAGAGACAACGAGCGACCGCTGCCTCTGATTGGGAACCACACCCGGCCAAACATAGAAATACAAACCTAGAAATTCACACCCTGACCAAACTAGCTAGAGTTCTATAGGCCAGGGCGTGACACCATTCTTCAGTCTGAATTGATTTGATATATGCCAGGACAATTTACTGAATTCATTTGAGATACAGAATGTCATGGTGCCAGGAATCTTGCTCACAATGAAGCATAGAGGGGTACAATTTATTTTTTAGCAATTACTTGTTTGGCAATGGTTTAATATAAGATTTTGACTGCATGCAAGAGTTCCTTTTCATTTGTTGTGTTCATTCCACAGGCTTACACTATACAGCATGTGATCATTATGTATTTTGGAAAGAGAATTCCACCTGCTCTTTCTTAAAGTGTCCCAATGGCACCAACTGCAATGATAGCTCTGTCGATGACCTGATAATGAAACTAGGTATACAAATGCTGCAATATATAAACACATTTGGTGGAGAATGTTTAAATATCAAAGTGCATGTGTACTCATTGTTAGAAATGTTCAGAATTCAACCCGTTATTAACTTCTTATTACCATCAATATAAATATTATTACACTGAACAAAAATATAACTCCAACATGTAAAGTGTTGGTCCCACAACCGCAGACCACGTGTAACCATGCCAGCCCAGGACCTCCACATCCGGCTTCTTCACCTGCGGGATCGTCTGAGACCAGCCACCTTGACAACTGATGAAACTGTGGCTTTGCACAACCGGAGATTTTCTGCACAAACTGTCAGAAACCGTATCAGGGAAGCTCATCTGCTAGTTGTCCTCACCAGGGTCTTGACCTGACTGCAGTTCGGCATCGTAACCGACTTCAGTGGGCAAATGCTCACCTTCGATGGCCACTGGCACGCTGGAGAAGTGTGCTCTTCACGGATGTACCGGGCGAGAGGTTGTCCGATTTTTTTCTGCATTTTATCAAAGTCAATTTGAATGTACAGAGATACTGTGAACGAGATACTGAGGCCCATTGTCGTGCCATTCATCGGCCACCATCACCTCATGTTTTAGCAGGATAATGCACGGCCCCATGTCGCAAGGATCTGTACACAATTCCTGGAAGCTGAAAATGTCCCAGTTCTTCCATGGCCTGCATACTCACCAGACGTCACCCATTGAGCATGTTTGGGATGTTCTGGATCGACATGTATGACAGCGTGTTCCAGTTCACGCCAATATCCAGCAACTTCGCACAGCCTTTGAAGAGCAGTGGGATAACATTACACAGGCCACAATCAACAGCCTGATCAAATCTATGCCCATGAGACAAATGGTTGTCACACCAGATGCTGACTGGTTTTCTGATCCATGCCCCTGCCATTTTTTAAGGTCTCTGTGACCAACAGATCATATCTGTATTCCCAGTCATGTGAAATCCATAGATTAGGGCCTAATACATTTATTTCAATTGACTGATTTCCTTGTATGAACTGTAACTCAGTAAAATCTTAGAATTTGTTGCATGTTGCGTTTTATTTTTGTTCAGTGTAGATGTAGATCTAGTAACGGTATCTTTTGGTTTCCAAGGGTTGTAAATTAACAATCTATTTTGTGATTGTAATACGTATCATGTAATGCATTTACATTTGTCAGACTTTTAAATCAGTTTCCCCCCCCCCCCCCTTAAGAGTGAGGCTGGACCAACCACTGAGTCTTCAAGTTCCAGTTCCATAACTTCATCAGAAATCCATCAGAACCCCACTGCTCCTGAATTGACAACCAGCAATAATGCCAATCAAATTACAGACACCTCTGCCCTCAATGAGACCGACTCTACCTTGCTCCCATCTCCACTTTATCTACTACCATGACTGTAGCACCCATACCAGCCGCTAAGAATGACACCTTCATTCCCATTAAAACTGTTAGCAATGCCTGCAGAGGAACTACAGTAGCTGACACGCCACGAGTCAACAGTCCAAACCTCCGAGACAACCACTTTAGTAAAGCAGGAACCTAGGACTACAATGACACCCTCAGCCCTGACCTCTCCACCAGCCATCCCACAGATGACAACAACAGCATTATCAACAACAAATACCACTACTACTACCACTGTAGTACCAATAACAGCAATGTCGTCAACTACCACAACCAGCACAACACACCCAACTACCACCACAACACACCCAACCACCACCACAATACCACCAACAACAACTACCACCACAACAATACCACCAACAACAACTACCACCACAACAATACAACCCAACAACAACTACCACCACATTAACAACAGCAATACCATCAACTACTACTCCAAACATAACCACCACCACCATAGACACTTCTATAGTTGAGGAGAAGAATCCTTCACCAACCAGTCCGGAGGCCCTCAGCTCTCAAGCTACCTCCAGAAACGCCATAGTCCCTTCGACCTTCACTGTTGAGGTCAGCACAAAAAGGCTTGACGGAGGTACCAACACCAACAGAGCCATTATAGACGTTGTTGCCGGGGGCCTCTGACCCGCCAGTTGGTGGACACAAGCGCCCTATTGGCTGTCCTGTTGTTTGGTGTCCTCTTCTTCCTGGTTACAGTTGTCCTCTTCCTCACACAGGCCTATGAGAGCTAGAGGACGAAAGACTACACCCAGGTGGACTATCTCATCAGTGGAATGTATTCTGATTCAGGGGTTTGAAAGTGACAGTTGAGTGTTTATGTTGATGTTTTTCTAATTTCTTTATTGGAACAGGATTAATAACTTGTGAGTTAACAGATTGCCAATGTTGCACCAGCCTTTGCTGTAGTATTGTATAAATGTTCTGTCTTAATGGTACTCCAGCCAAATGCATAAAGATACTTTTTTCAACTATGTATAAATTGCTCCAGGCCTGCTGTGGTTTTATTCAGGCCTTAAGCTCTTACGATGGACCAAGAAATGCACCTCTTTGTCATCAGGCCAAGGGCCAAAGTACAGTGGTTTGTTTATCCTATATTTCTATTGCTTACATTTCCATGCAGATGCTCCCAGCCCTAACCCATAGGACTAAAAACATAGATGGTTAAGTACTCTGTTTTTGGACTAAAGACATAGATGGTTAAGTACTCTGTTTTTTCCTAAGGAATGTAATTTGGATTGCTGTTGGAAAGAGGGTGAAAAGGTTTATTTGTTTTGTTTATTTGTCCGGTGTTAATTATTTAGTTTGTATCCATTGCTTTGCGTAAGTATGTCATTTTTCATGCCTTTTTTCTTTGTTCATGACTAGTTTATTTCCTTTGTTTACCATTCCTCTCCTTGGATTAAGATTGAATGCCAAAATGATCACTGAAGCACATTAACGTTGAAGCCAAGGGAATTGTCTAGCCATTATGAACTCCATTCCACGAAGAAGAAGGAGGAACAGTTGGTTATATGATGACCAAAAGAGACTTTCCAAGGCGGAGGAACTTCTGTCAAGGGTGGAAATGGGTCTGAAGGCCTGTTATGTGCCAATTTAAATCTTACTAAAGCACTATTAAATATGGAATTCGCAATAAAGAAATAAAGTGAGAATTTAAATGGATGTTTCTTTCATATTTCACAAAAAAAGGTTTGACAAAATGGCAGTAGGGGTTAATCAGCACTTTAGCTAGAGACATTAGTAGTGTGCTAGTCTCTCAACTGTTGTAAGACTTAAGATTTCTGCAGGCCTGTGAACAGTATATGCTGTGTTTCCCAGGCAGGGAGAGATCTCGATGTTTATTACAGGGGCACATCAATCAGTCTGGGTGTAATCAAGCTGGTGCACATAAACATCCCACATCTGTAGACCAGTAATTGCTTCCTGGGAATGTGATGCACATGTAATGTGTCTATTTGTTGAGAAGGTTTGAAGGTGTGGACTAGGAATTAATTGGCAGAGAAGAAATAATGAGAGCAGGGAGGTGGTCCGACACCTTAACAATGTACTCACCAGTGAAGCATTTATTTTGGGGAGTGAAACTAAAATTAAAAGGGAAAAACATGGATTCCATTAGTAACATTTAGGAGAAAACAACCTTTGGCATCTCGAGGCAGTTTTTAAATTGCTTCTCTGCTGCTTTTCTGCTTAGCTCTCTTCATTCCAGTGCTTTCTAAAAGTCCTTATTCAGACATCCATTACCTTGGACTTTATCCCTGTTCCCCACACAGTTCTCTTGGGAACTTCCTGGTCCACACAGGCTCTAGTTTCCCATTTCCTGGAATAGTTGGCTATAAAATAACCTTTTTGCCCATTGCCAAAGTACATTGCATTTAGTAAAAAAATAACTAACAATTGGTTGCTTCAGTATTTGTCATTGACAATTTATCACCCCTCTGCAATACCCCAATATATTGCTGCCAAGACCTGATATTCATATTTTTTTACTTCAATGTTACAGAATGTTCTATTTGCTCTGGTTGTGAGTGTTTGCTCCCAGTATTGAGCTCTAACTGTCAGATCAGAGACAGCAGGAAATCACAGCCTCCAGGACATGCGATTTCAATATCTGCAATATGAATATCTGTTGAGAAGCAGATAGTGAGGGGGTTAGTGATAAGCTTACTGACATGATGCCTGTATAAGCCTTTTGTTTTGAGAGGGCCTGTTCCACATGGACTTCATTACTGTGTTAGGGTTATTTGTTACACTGTGGCGTGGATATTACTGAAAAACCCAATATTTATAAGCAACAAAGACTAATAGAAAGGCAGCTTTTATGATTTGTGAATAGGGCCCATTGGATCAAAGGGCATGACGAAGGCTATATGGTGCAGGTGACTGTAAAGGCAGGTTTCATTGTGGCATATTTCTCTGGGCTGGGAATGGTTGCCTCGCTCACACACAGAGGGACATCTGCTTCTACTTTTCCCCCTTTCGAGTTCATGCCAGTTGGAGAACCTTAGCATTCAACCCGAGGAGTGCTTTTTCTGCCAGGACTATGGCTTAATCCTCAATGTTTACAGCGCCTGGAGTCTTGTGAAAGAATGAAGGGCAAATTATATATCATAAAAGTACCGCTCTGCTATTGCATTATATACCGTATATTATGGAGAACATGGGTAGAAGTTACCCAGTGAGAGACCAAGTGTGCCATTGTTTAAAATGCCTTTTTTCACATCCTGCAGCTTCAGACACATTATGTGTCAGCTAAGCAAATCAAAGTGCAACACTCATTTGGAGACAGATACTGTTAGATGATAAATAGGTGATGCTAAAAATAAAGGGTTATGCATGCCAAGTATCCTCTGGGTAGATGCAGTAAAGCCTACATGGCCATTTGTTGTAAGGAAGTGTACACCCCTATAGCCTACCCTTCTTGAGGAGCGGATGTTAGTCTTCCGATAAATCATCTTGCACTTGTCCAAGAAGGACTCAATTTGTCACTTTGTTTTCACATCCACTGTAGCCTACACAATATATTTAAGAAGTCAAAATTATTCTCACATCATTAAAAGTTCGCAAATTATATTTTGTGTTTTTAGGCTAAGAAGAAATAATTTCAATATTTACTACTTTATATAAATCAATATTTGACAGCATATAAATCTAGCTTGTGACAGAACACTACATGACCAAAAGTATGTAGACACCTGCTCGTCAAACATCTCATTCCAAAATTATGGGCATTAATATGGAGTTGGTGTCCCCTTTGTTGCTATAACAGCCTCCACTCTTCTGGGAAGGCTTTCCACTAGATGTTGGAACATTGCTGCGGGGACTTGCTTCCATTCAGCCACAAGAGTATTAGTGAGGTTGGGCACTGATGTTGGGTGATTAGGCCTGGCTCGCAGTCGGCATTCCAATTAATCCCAAAGGTGTTTGTTGGAGTTGAGGTCAGGGCTCTGTGCAGGCCAGTCAAGTTCATCCACATCGATCACGACACACCATGTCTGTATGGACCTCACTTTGAGCACAGGGGCATTGTCATGCTGAAACAGGAAAGGGCCTTCTCACAAAGTTGGAAGCACAGAATCGTCTAGAATGTCATTGTACGCTGTAGTGTTAAGATTTCCCTTCACTGGAACTAAGGGACCTAGCCCGAACCATGAAAAACAGCCCCAGACCATTTTTCCTCCTCCACCAAACTTTACAGTTGGAACTATGCATTCGGGCAGGTAGCGTTCTCCTGGTATCCACCAAACCCAGATTCGTCCGTTGGACTACCAGATGGTGAAGCATGATTCATCACGCCAGAGAACGCGTTTCCATTGCTCTGGAGTCGGATAGTCGACCATGGAAACCCATTTCATGAAGCTCCCGATGAACAGTTATTGTGCTGACGTTGCTTCCAGAGGCAGTTTGGAACTCGGTAGTGAGTGTTGCAACCAGACAATGTTTAAGTGTATAGCGCTTCAACACTCAGCGGTTTGTGTGGCCTACCACTTCGCGGCTGAGCCGTTGTTGCTCCTAGAGGTTTCCACTTCACAATAACAGCACTTATAGTTGACCGGTGCAGCTCTAGCAGGGCAGACATTTGAAGAACTGATTTGTTGTAAAGGTGGCATCCTATGAAGGTGCCATGTTGAAAGTCACTGAGCTCATCAGTAAGGCCATTCTACTGCCAGTGTTTGTCTATGGAGATTGCATGACTGTGTGCTCGATTTTATACACCTGTCAGCAACGGATGTGGCTGAAATAGTCGAATCCACTAATTTCAATGAGGTGTCCACATACTTTTGTATGTATAGTGTATATTTATTGGACCTGTGAGATAAAGCCTTAAGTTATGTATTTTTTCTTAGAAAATATTTAGATGTAGCAAGGATCTTGTCATTGGATGCTTTGGAATTCAATGATTTTAAATGAACTTTTTGTGACATACAAAAATTAGATATGTGCTTTATTTTAAAAGGTGCATCTTTTTTTAAATGATCAAGTGAAACACCGAGGGCATAAACTAACCATATGTCTGGTGACGTCGTCCGGTTTCCGCTGTCATTCCCGTATGTGCCTCCACGATCAAGGCAGGCAGGCGGGAGTAGCGTTCCAACAAAAGTATCGACCAAGACAGTCGCTCGGATTTTAATTTTCTTTTGCACAAGTAACCAGAAGAATGGAGTCGGAGTTATGGAATTAAAGCCACGAGGAATTGCAATGGACGTTTTTCTCGTGGAATTACTGTTTTATAGTAGCTTGCTCTCTGTAGTTAATGGTAAGTAGTGACTTTTTTTGTTCGGACTCTGCTCCGAGCTTGCAAAGTTGTAATATGGTTTTTAGAAAACACTGGGTAGCAATGTGGCTATAGCTACGTGAATGTGTCTCGCTAGAGGTCGGTAGTTATAATAGATATAAGTAAGTTATGCTTTTGTGTTTTAAAGTTGAAGTAGCATATGTCTTTTCGTGTATTTTATTTAAATATTATACGTTTGAGTCTTTTCTTTCCAAGTTGGATACTGACTCCGTGGCGAGACAATCGCAGGAGTTCACTCAAGCCTAAACTGTCTCGCGTTTCCAATTTATCAGAATAGTGAAACTTTTCAAAAACTGATATTAGACTTTCTTTAGCCCAACTTTACTTCATTCTAGCGGGGCACCGCAAAAGTTCATTTTAGAGCCTATACTCGGAGGCCTCAATGCACTGCGATTGATCGCCGGTGTCGGGTGTCATAAGGAGCCCCTTTCTGCTTGAAAGTGTGCAATGTTTGTGGGAAAGTGAAGGAAGGACAAGTTATTTATCTGATTCTTTCCACACACTTCGTTTTGAAGTAGCAAAACATAGACCTATAGAATGTCCCAATGAGATAGGTGAGACAGTTAGGCTGAATGTGCACAAACATTTCTGAATGCATGAATAGGCAGACAAATATACATTTTTGTAAGATGGATCTATTGAACCACTAACAAAATGCATAACAAACCTTTCACCATTTACATTCCTGGTCTTTACAAAAATATCACAAAAACCATATCTAATAAAAGTCTACAAGTGGGACTAGGTCTATAGAGTTCCTGGTTATTTTGGTGCATCTTTTGTCTACCACACTGTTATAGGTCCCATGCAAATATTGTATACACTATTAGACAGCTGTTTCCAATAGGTTGACTATGGATGAGTTTGGACTATATGGATGACATTAGTTCACCTTAGATCAAATACCTAGGAATAAGTAAATCAAGTCTTTCTGTATGCAGTGTGCTAGCATGATTAGGCCTACACACAAAGTGCAGCAGTAGACAATTTCCCAAAGTTGGATAAGTTGAAATAGACTGAATCTTTTTCGGTTTTATGGCCATTCTTCTTTTAAGTTGAAGATGGCAGATTAGGACATCTCTTTAATGCCCACAATTAATTTGTTGATCCTTTTTCCCTGCATTGATTTGGGCTAATTATCATATAGAGTGTGATATCATGAAATAGGTTATTTTGTTTAGGGCCAATCCCATCTTTCACCAACTCTGATGAATGAACTGTACATTTAGTTACACCCATGTGTCACTGCTTTGGTATAAGCAGTATGTATCAACCTGAGAGAACTTCTCAGTGCGTGACTTCCACAGGATTTAGGGAGGGGTGAGCAGGTGTAATACACACTCACAGGCTAAAACACAAAACCAGTGTCATTAAACACCAGTCAAGCCAAACACCCAGTGCTGTGTGTAGAGAGACGCCCTATATTGCCCTGTGACTAGTATCAATCACTGTTTATAAAAAAAAAGCTCATATATATTTTATGTATGATTTTTAAAAGTTTCAATTACTCTCACATCTCACATTACACATCCTAGGTAAGATTCAGCCCTTAGATCACTTCAGTGCTCCAAATTTAAAAAATAAGTTTGACAATGTTATGTAATTGTGTTGCTTTCTTGAGACTGCATGTCATAAATCAATCCCTTCATACCTACACTATTTATCCAATAGATCTGAGTTTTGGCTACTGTTAAAATAAAGCATTGCAGTGTATGGAACAATTAGCTTGTCTTGAGGTGTGGATGTTATTCAATTCCATGGTGAAGAATGTATGCCTATAGATATGATATTTTTCCATTTTTTTTTCACTTTTGAAATACGAATAGGTTATTTGTTTAATTTCATCCGGGGATCTAGAGAGGAAGTTTACCTGAAGTCTACGCAGTAGCAGGCTGTCTTGATTCCCCCTGGGTCTCCCACACTCCTTTTCCCAACACCTAGGCATACTCTTCCTCCGTCCTCACCCCCACACACCCAGACACCCAGACACTGCACAGCGCTGATAAGGCTTTAGAGTCAGGGAGCTGTTGGTCTTCCTTCCAACCAGAACAAAACAAGACAAGAAAAGAAGAGGGAGGGAATCACTTCTCAAGCTGTCACGGTGCTAGAGCAATGGAGGCTTTCTGCCTTCTTTCCTTTTTAGGACGCTCCGGAAGCTTGTAGAGTAGACACCCCTCTCCCTTCGCCCCCCATCTCTTCTCCCAGTGGAGGGCTAGTTAGCTCAGTGGTCCTCTGTAGCTCAGCTGGTAGAGCACAGCGCTTGTAACGCCAAGGTAGTGGGTTCGATCCCCGGGACCACCCATACACAAAAATGTATGCACGAATGACTAAGTCGCTTTGGATAAAAGCGTCTGCTAAATGGCATATTATTATTATTTATTATTATAGTTAATCCTGGTGACATGCTCAGACTCCTCAGCTGTTCCTCTTCCACAAATGCCAAGTTCACTGGATCCAGGTACTCCCAACTCACCTCTCTTTCAAATGACTGACTGGAAAAGCTGGTATGAGGCAATGTTGAATAAGTAAATTTTTTGAACTAGCAGAGAAAAATGTCAGGACAGCTGTTCTTAGAGATGGACAGTTACTCAGAAGTAGGCCTAGGTTTTTGGGACCCTGTGCAATAATAAAACAGAGCGGACTTCAGTACATAAGCGTATTCCCGAGCAGTGTGCACTTGAGCAGAATTTAGTTTCTTATTCAGGTAGCCAGGTATTTATTTGATATGCTGGAGTGCTGTACATTCCATCCTCTTATCTATTTTTGATTTTATTTTAATGTGCAAAATTCATGGTCCGGCATAGTGCACTTTGATGAAAACGAAGGAAATGCCTGAAGTTTCTGAACCCTATACCCTGTCTTACTTTCTCTCTTCATGGTGGACCCATCTGCAGAGAGTGCATTTCTCCAGAGTGCCAGAGCTTTCATTGTGCTTTTTCAAGGACGTTTCCAGGTTCAGGCTGTTTTATGCAGATGGAAAGTTCTCTTTGCTTTGCAGATGGACCTGAACAGGGACTATTATGAGTGTTTTTGTGTGGGTTAGCCATTTTTATATAAACTAGCCTTCTAGTCAGGGGTTAAAGTTATTTTTATTTATTATTGTTTTTATTACATTTTTTCATTTTTGTTGATAAGGACTGTAATTGGTCAAACTCTCAGTTTAATCCATGCAGAAAATGATCCTCTTTCCATAAAAGCATGATGGTCATTATTTTTTTTACATGAAAGTGGAGGTTAACTTGGCCCCGAAGACAATCGATCTGAAATCGACTTAAGTTTCAGTCATGTTTTTTGTTGTTGCTTTAACCCCTCCTTCTAGTGCATGGCTCCCCAACTGGCGGCCCGTGGGCCGTATATAGAGTTGATGATTGCCTCACCGGTTAGACCTAGGTGTTAGGGTTGAGATAAGCTACAGCACCAAATGAAAATGTGGCCCATAGGCTGTTCGTTTCCATGTCTATATTAGCTGGATAATCCCGCTGTTGGAGCCACTTGAACATGATGATGGTAAAATAAGGAATCACATTCTTCCGAGGAAATGATCGTGCCCAGAGGCCGATCATGGATGTTTAGGAAAGAGCTGGCATTGTTTGTTTGGTAGTGAGACTGGCTGCTCCCTGGCCCTGCCTCTTGTGTTGGGGCAGAGACAGAGTGCGATTGCTTTGCAGCATGTGGAGTGGACAGGCCTGGCTGCTGCCTCTGCTCTGTTCTCATAAAAAGTTCAGCTGTTGTGGTGAGATTGATCTTTGTAATCCCCACTGTTATGTATCCACTGGGGGCTGAGGTGTCAAGAATCCTCACTGATGGCTTTCGTTGGTCTCTCCCTGCGCCTCCACATTCTGCTGTCTTTTTAGGAATGCCTTTGGATTACCAGTGCTGCATATTTATTTTCAACACGCCAATGTCCAATACACACAACCACTTAGGACTACTTCCACACTACATCCTTGAGATCTAATAAGAAGTATGTAGGCTACTTGTTGTATGTCAAGCGTTGACTTGGCCTTATTTCTAGATGCAGCGTTTCTGTGATTGTGGCATTTCTATAGCATAGGCCTAGTTCTCCTCTACCTTTAGGGAGTGATATTGTGTTCTTATGTTCCTCTGTAGGTCACACTTCTCCTCTTTCAGTTTTGACCTGTGATTCAGGGAAGAAAAGAAAGAAAGACTGAGGCACACATGGCCTTATGGGAGAATTAGGCTATGACTTGTGGCTTTACATCTAAAGCTTCTTCTCCCTTTATTTCTTCACAAGTACCTGTATGATTGCAGTCTTCTCAGTGTCTCCCTCACTGTCTAACATGTGCACCACACTACAAAGACAAATGGTATGTGTTTGTGGAATCCAGATTTTATGCCGCAATAAAATCGTGGTCTAAAAAAGGTTATGTTGGACATTGAAGCCTATGTATGGGGAGGATAGAAACTAAAGTTTGACGTTTTAAATTTGTAGGTCATCTGTTAATTTGCCTTGCAGCCCTTTTGTAGTCAAGAATGAGGAGTCGTGTTCTAAGGATGTGTAGACAGACGGGCAGTACGTTGTGATTAGTCTGGGTTTTTACCCTGTTCAGGGGAGGAAGTCGTCATTAGCAGCAACAAGCAGCAGACTGTCTGGCTGGCTCCACCATGTTAAAATCTGATGTCCATGCTAGTTTCACATCTCCAACATGGCCTATGATTAGAAGGTCACAGGTATGGACCTAAGGGGATTGAAGCACGTGGTTATACCCCAGAGAAAGTTAGAGCATTTTTTGCCAACTTTTTATGTAAAACACAAATAAAACATTGCTGACTAGGCTAATTGTTTGCTTATGGGCAATACCACAGTAACGGAATTATGCTTTTACTCAGATTTTTGTATGCCAAGCAAAAAACATTGATTTCAAAGTTTAACAAACCATACAACTCTATGCACAAGGACTGCTTTGAACAATTTACAAAGACAATTTCACAAAAACACATTTACTGGAAGAACTGTGAAGATGCTAAGTTTGATAACATAATTACGGTAAAATCTCCCTCTTTTTTTTTTTTATGCTACCACGTTTTCCAAAAAACTGTTAAATATCTGCTCCGAATTAAGATTCAATGATGTCTGCAGAAAGAATGGGGTGTCAGCTATGACATGACACCTTGAGTTTTAAAACATTTATTTTGGTTATTGAACTACAGTAGGTGAAGTGGATTTACATCAGGTAACGGAAATACGGTAACGGAATTACATCATGGGTCCCTGATCTGTGCTGTACAGAAATGCCTAATTATGGATATGAATATCATTCTCTTAATGGTGATGTATCCTGAATAGGTACACAAAGGTAGAAATATGCAATATCCTTTTTTTGCATATTTGGGTATTATTGTAATGCGCTCCGCCCCCAAACAAGACGACATTTGGTTGGTCCGGTAGATATGTACAGTACATTATACTGTACTACCAGATGACAAAATAACTTTTATGAGTTGAACATAACAGTATGGCAGTGGAAGGGAGGACAGTAGCAGGTGACCAACTGGTTTGTGACTACTATGATTTCCCATTGTAGCCAATTAAAATGCGTTAATTCCATTACCGATTTTGTTAACAGCATTACGAGTTTTAAACACTTAATAATTCATGAACAAACTTGATATCATTAACACAAACTAATTGGTAGGTCTACCTTTACTTGTTACTTCTGTGAACATTCATTATCCTCCCTCTTCATTATTGAGAGAAATGTGAAAATATCTTAAAGATACAGTGGGGAGAACAAGTATTTGAAACACTGCCGATTTTGCAGGTTTTCCTACTTACAAAGCATGTAGAGGTCTGTAATTTTTATCATAGGTACACTTCAACTATGAGAGACGGAATCTAAAACAAAAATCCAGAAAATCACATTGTATGATTTTTAAGTAATTAATTTGCATTTTATTGCATGACATAAGTATTTGATACATTAGAAAAGCAGAACTTAATATTTGGTACAGAAACCTTTGTTTGCAATTACAGAGATCATACGTTTCCTGTAGGTCTTGACCAGGTTTGCACACACTGCAGCAGGGATTTTGGCCCACTCCTCCATACAGACCTTCTCCAGATCCTTCAGGTTTCGGGGCTGTCGCTGGGCAATACGGACTTTCAGCTCCCTCCAAAGATTTTCTATTGGGTTCAGGTCTGGAGACTGGCTAGGCCACTCCAGGACCTTGAGATGCTTCTTACGGAGCCACTCCTTAGTTGCCCTGGCTGTGTGTTTCGGATCGTTGTCATGCTGGAAGACCCAGCCACGACTTATCTTCAATGCTCTTACTGAGGGAAGGAGGTTGTTGGCCAAGATCTCGCGATACATGGCCCCATCCATCCTCCCCTCAATACGGTGCAGTCGTCCTGTCCCCTTTGCAGAAAAGCATCCCAAAGAATGATGTTTCCACCTCCATGCTTCATGGTTGGGATGGTGTTCTTGGGGTTATACTCATCCTTCTTCTTCCTCCAAACACGGCGAGTGGAGTTTAGACCAAAAAGCTCTATTTTTGTCTCATCAGACCACATGACCTTCTCCCATTCCTCCTCTGGATCATCCAGATGGTCATTGGCAAACTTCAGACGGGCCTGGACATGCGCTGGCTTGAGCAGGCGGACCTTGCGTGCGCTGCAGGATTTTAATCCATGACGGCGTAGTGTGTTACTAATGGTTTTCTTTGAGACTGTGGTCCCAGCTCTCTTCAGGTCATTGACCAGGTCCTGCCGTGTAGTTCTGGGCTGATCCCTCACCTTCCTCATGATCATTGCAACTCCACGAGGTGAGATCTTGCATGGAGCCCCAGACCGAGGGTGATTGACCGTCATCTTGAACTTCTTCCATTTTCTAATAATTGCGCCAACAGTTGTTGCCTTCTCACCAAGCTGCTTGCCTATTGTCCTGTAGCCCATCCCAGCCTTGTGCAGGTCTACAATTTTATCCCTGATGTCCTTACACAGCTCTCTGGTCTAGGCCATTGTGGAGAGGTTGGAGTCTGTTTGATTGAGTGTGTGGACAGGTGTCTTTTATACAGGTAACGAGTTCAAACAGTTGCAGTTAATACAGGTAATGAGTGGAGAACAGGAGGGCTTCTTAAAGAAAAACTAACAGGTCTGTGAGAGCTGGAATTCTTACTGGTTGGTAGGTGATCAAATACTTATATCATGCAATAAAATGCAAATTAATTACTTAAAAATCATACAATGTGATTTTCTGGATTTTTGTTTTAGATTCCGTCTCTCACAGTTGAAGTGTACCTATGATAAAAATTACAGACCTCTACATGCTTTGTAAGTAGGAAAACCTGCAAAATCGGCAGTGTATCAAATACTTGTTCTCCCCACTGTATGTGGGTTTTTGGTAACAGAATTACAAGGCAATGTTTCTAAAACTTACAGAAGGCAAATTATTTCCAAAACATTTGTTAATATTAGTTTGCAGGGGTCTTTACTTCAATATTGTATTTTGATGTATTTCTTATACATTTGAACACTTTTTCTGGTAGATGTTATGAAAGACCCCTTTTCCATAAATTTGACCAGAAATCAAAGCCTTTCCTTATTCCTCATTTGTAGGATGGAAAACTCTTATCTTTCATTTGACACCTAACTTGCTACTGTCAGGGTTTCCGTTAGGAAAATGTGGTGCCGGACAACATGACCGGAAAGATTTACCGGCCATTTGAGAAATTAACCAGACCCATATGCATTGCTCAGAATGACAGCAATCCCATTTAGATTATGGTAATGCATTTTAACAGAACGTGCAACTCATGTTCCATATGTGACCGAGATGAAAATCTCTGTTAGACATTTTGAAAGAGGTGGAATCTAAAGATGCAACAATTAGGATGGGTTGCTGACTAGGATTGTGCCTTTGGCTTCTGGACAACGAAATAAAGTTGCTATGAAAACCAATAAAACAGGAGAGAAATGTCATGGCGGTGGGTCTTATAGGGAAGTAAAAGGAAATACATTTGCCCAAATTATATAATTACTCCTGTCTATACAGAAATAAATAAAATTATTCAAAATACATGACTTGGCCACAGAGGAATCAAGGATAATCCGCTTCTTAATTTTTTTTTGCTGTGGATCGTTTCAAATCACAAGCTCGTAGACCTATGCCTATTTCTTTAGCCGCCAATGGAACACGGTATATCAGTGTGTCCATATGGCAGAGGTTGGTGATCTCGCATTAGTTTACTTTTTAACTTTAAGATTTTTATAATTTTAATTCAAATGTTTATGATTAAGCACGTGACAATGATTTTGAGAAACGAAAACATTATTATTGTAATGAACTGTTCCACAAAAATGCGCCTATGAAAATCATAACTGGCACACAGAACGTTAGAAATGGTAGGATACAATTGTAAGCATAAATGAAATAAAACATTCAGCTCACATTGTAAAGTGGTGGGTGACGCGCTGATAGCCTGTTGCCTGCACTTGAATGTTGAATGGGAGGCGTGCTTCAATTAACAGTTAATCATGCACCAAAACTGTTTTTAACACGCGATTGCATTTAGAATTGTTGTGATAGTTGTGTTGGATAAATAAGATGCATGATGACTAACAAAAATACACACAAATAACCTATAGACTGATAAGCATGACTGTCAAATGTACATCGACTGGTATTTCCATCAATGAATTAAAAGCATTATCTTGCAATGGGATTTGTTTTATGTTCCTCTATAGGGTATTTCCATCTAAAAGGACCCATGAGCACCAACATATGAGGCAAAAGCCGCCAACTGCCGGCCAACGGAAACCCTGGCTACTATGAACTTCACATGTTGGTGCTCATGGGTCCTTTTAGATGGAAATACCCCTTTTTCAACTCTATTAGGCCAAATACAGATCTTTATGCTCTTTTAATAAAAGTCAATTCAAGTGGCAGAGAGTTGACACCAAAGTTCTGTAGCCTAAGTTTTCTATTACTATGCCACTCAGACTTATTCATATATTAAACTGATGTCGCATAGTATTGGAGTAACTGTCCCAGTGAAGCGCTGTAATGTGGTGGAAACCAATGATGGCTCTTATCTGGTGTCTTGGTGCTTAGTTACCTGGCATGCTGGTAAACCACAGCGTGGCACCCCAATCCACAGCCCTCTCTCCTCTTTTGTCCTCAGGCATTGTGTCAGCACTGTCTGCCTCTGATGACATCAGTCTGTGTGTATGCATCCAATGCCCCGATCCCACTCAACAGTCACTGAGGCATCAGTTACTGTGTGGCACATTATGCAATCCAGCCTTTGGCTATTGGCTTTCACTCTCATTGCGGAATATCTAACTCGATTCTAAATGTAACTAACATGAACTGTCATGGAATTCTCTGCTTAGTTACTTTTCAACCTTGGTAGTTGACTGTACTAAATGAGAATAGGGTGTATGGCTGTGTACCTTTTTCTTTAATGTAATGTATTTCTTCTCATTTTCCTCAGGATCCCCATTGCTGCTGTTTGCCAACCGGCGGGATGTAAGGCTGGTGGATGTGGAGATGGGGAGGCCAGAGTCAGCAGTGGTGGTCAGTGATCTGGAGGATGCTGCTGCCGTGGACTTCCTCTACTCTGAAGGACTCATCTTCTGGACCGACGTCAGCGAGGAGGCCATCAAGCAGACCTACTACAATCAGTCCACCAACTGTAAGCTTCACGCTGCTACATCCGAGTTAGGGACTGTTCTTATGGTGTTGTCTTACATTTGTAAGTGTGTTAAATCTCTGTGTTAAATATTTAGTTGTTTTTAAGTTTGGTGCAAATATAATTGAAAAACATTCATTTATTCTGCAACGCATAGATAAACTTGAAGAAAGGTCCAACACCTAAGGATAAATCTAGAAAATAACACCAGAATGTCACTATTAATGGAGGGATATTGATATTGAAGTGTAGACCTAAGTGTTCCCTCTGAAATGTTGGGCTTTTGTTTTCAGCTCTGAAAGAGGCATTGGGGACAGGGCAAACTGTTGTTGTTTCGGGCCTCGACTCCCCTGACGGACTGGCTTGTGATTGGTTGGGCCGTAAACTATACTGGACCGACTCGGAGACCAATCGCATTGAGGTAGCCAACCTGGATGGCACCTCTCGCAAGGTGCTATTCTGGTTGGACCTGGACCAGCCCCGGGCCATCGCCCTGAACCCAGCCCACCGGTGAGTCTCTGTCTCTGTCTCTGGCCTGGCCTCTCTCTCTCCCCTGACTGGGACATGGGTCATGTATCCACAGCAGCGGCCCCTTCCATCCATGTGTATTTATGGTTCATACATGCATCTGTTGGTTGAGTGAGAGGGTGGAAAACCTGCTTTTCAGGTGGGTCTGTTTCCTGTTGTGTTGCGTAGATCCTCTGGAGTTGACTCCTCTTCTCTCATAGGGCACTGTTTTGAATTATATGGTTGTGTATACAGATCTTTATGCTCTTTATGTGTATCCATTAGCATTATTGAGTCAGTATAATTTCCCTCTAGTCAGTGGAAAGTACTGCAGGAATACCTTTTTATTTCATGGATTTAGTGCTATTTTTGAACGTGTATGGTTTTGTAAAAACGTCAAACCTCAAGAACCTGAGTTTTGCAACTAATTAACATGGGATTATAAAACGAAAACAAAGCTTAAAATGGTGAAGTGTAAAACGCTTCTCACCTCCTCACTCCGTACAAAGTTGGGTTCATCAAGTTCATCATATAAAGACAAAATATCACTGAAATACCAGCAGTTCTAGACTGTAGACTCAGTATCTAAATGTAAAATTGGTAGAGCATGGCGCTTGTAACGCCAGGGTAGTGGGTTCGATCCCCGGGACCACCCATACGTAAAAATGTATGCGCACATGACTGTAAGTCGCTTTGGATAAAAGCGTCTGCTGAATGGCATATTAAAATTATCGTCAAATAAACAAAGTAAGATTTGAGTTATTCATTTGTAGGATTCTTCTCTGAAAGACATTTGATAATCTTGAAGAAACACTAAAACACAATAGCCCTTTTTAATTTATTGCAGTCTTCAGTTTTGAGGTCTCCTTTTGAGTACAGCTCCTTACTCCTTCAATAGAGTAGTTTATGCAAAATAGGCTAGTTCTTCAATGTCTCTCGAATACAAGTTGACATGAGTGTTGCCTCTGTCCTTGCTTTGCCCTCATGAGGCTGTTAAAGTATTTGATCCCCTGCTGATTTTGTACGTTTGCCCACTGACAAAGACATGATCAGTCTATAATTTTAATGGTAGGTTTATTTGAACAGTGAGAGACAGAATAACAACAACAAAATCCAGAAAAACGCATGTCAAAAATGTTATGAATTGATTTGCATTTTAATGAGGGAAATAAGTATTTGACCCCTCTGCAAAACATGACTTAGTACTTGGTGGCAAAACCCTTGAAAGCAATCACAGAGGTCAGATGTTTCTTGTAGTTGGCCACCAGATTTGCACACATCTCAGGAGGGATTTTGTCCCACTCCTCTTTGCAGATCTTCTCCAAGTCATTAAGGTTTCGAGGATGACGTTTGAGAACTCAAACCTTCAGCTCCCTCCACAGATTTTCTATGGGATTAAGGTCTGGAGACTCCAGGACCTTAATGTGCTTCTTCTTGAGCCACTCCTTTGTTGCCTTGGCCGTGTGTTTTGGGTCATTGTCATGCTCGAATACCCATCCATGACCCATTTTCAATGCCCTGGCTGAGGGAAGGAGGTTCTCACCCAAGATTTGACGGTACATGGCCCCGTCCATCGTCCCTTTGATGCAGTGAAGTTGTCCTGTCCCCTTAGCAGAAAAACACCCCCAAAGCATAATGTTTCCACCTCCATGTTTGACGGTGGGGATGGTGTTCTTGGGGTCATAGGCAGCATTCCTCCTCCTCCAAACACGGCGAGTTGAGTTGATGCCAAAGAGCTCGATTTTGGTCTCATCTGACCACAACACTTTCACCCAGTTCTCCTCTGAATCATTCAGATGTTCATTGGCAAACTTCAGACGGGCCTGTATAAGTGCTTTCTTGAGCAGGGGGACCTTGCGGGGGCTGCAGGATTTCAGTCCTTCACGGCGTAGTGTGTTACCAATTGTTTTCTTGGTGACTATGGTCCCAGCTGCCTTGAGATCATTGACAAGATCCTCCCGTGTAGTTCTGGGCTGATTCCTCACCGTTCTCATGATCATTGCAACTCCACGAGGTGAGATCTTGCATGGAGCCCCAGGCCGAGGGAGATTGACAGTTATTTTGTGTTTCTTCCATTTGCGAATAATCGCACCAACTGTTGTCACCTTCTCACCAAGCTGCTTGGCGATGGTCTTGTAGCCCATTCCAGCCTTGTGTAGGTCTACAATCTTGTCCCTGACATCCTTGGAGAGCTCTTTGATCTTGGCCATGGTGGAGAGTTTGGAATCTGATTGATTCTGTGGACAGGTGTCTTTTATACAGGTAACAAACTGAGATTAGGATCATTCCCTTTAAGAGTGTGCTCCTAATCTCAGCTCGTTACCTGTATTAAAGACACCTGGGAGCCAGAAATCTTTCTGATTGAGAGGGGGTCAAATACTTATTTCCCTCATTAAAATGCAAATCAATTTATAACATTTTTGACATGCGTTTTTCTGGATTTTGTTGTTGTTATTCTGTCTCACTGTTCAAATAAACCTACCATTAAAATTATAGACTGATCATTTCTTTATCAGTGGGCAAACGTACAAAATCAGCAGGGGATCAAATACTTTTTTCCCTCACTGTACATTTCCACACTATGATGTTGGAATAATACTGTAAAAATGATAATAATGGCCCTTTCGTCTAAGAGCTGTTCAAAAAGGCCGCCTGAAATTTCAGCTTGTTTTATTGGGATGGAGTTTTGGCCTTCCTTGGTGACATCACCATGCGGTAAATTAGTTAATAGACCAATAAGAGTTCCAAACCTCTCTGCTAATAACAGCACATTTTCAGTTTTCCTCTCCCCTCTCAAACCCCTCGCAGACAGTCCTAGCAAAATTATTGCTTAAGAAGCTATTTTTGTTTCTTTTTGACCATTTTAATTGAACAATCACAGTAAGGTACTATACTAAATTATTTGATATTGAGATAAAAACGGCTTCATTGGACACTTGAGTTTAATTCCTAGACAGCACAGCCATTGTTTTTCACGCTCTTTGTTCAAGCAGCAACTGAATTCTAATGGAGGCATAGGAGCAGGTAAGCTCTTAATTGTGAAAAATGTGCTCTCTGCAGTTGGAGGTTGTTTGGTCTCTGGGGGGCAAGGGGTGGTTGGTCTTCATGCTTGGTCTCCCTGCTGGCATTATGTTTGATAAGCGTTTCCGTTGGTGGGTGACATGCTTGCTGTCGTACCACATGCTAAATGAGTAATCGGGTTTCTCCAAACTCCCGTTTCCTGATGTTTTAATTGTTTTTTTCTACCCTGCTGGACAAAGGAATGCAAAACTGTTTTATGACTAAACTGTGTCAGTTGGTGCACAGTGTTACATTCTAATCAGCCACTGTGTTCCTGATAGGGGAGGTGATCCATTCTGCCACAAATCTACATTTTGATTTTAATGGAGGTGCGGAAGAGGAGGACTTGGCACATGCGCACTTGGTCAAAAACAATACTTTTTTTTTTTCAGTTGCATGTAACTTCTTATTTAGACCTTTTATGGAAGTACATACCGGCAGTAATGACGATAGTTGCTCAGCGAAACGACATTCTTTGGTAGGTACTGATCATAATTTGACATTATTAAGCTTGAAAAGCTGGTGAATGGCAAGTATAATGGCTGCTTCCTGGATTTAAAGGAGAATCGCCATATTCAACGTCTCCTGTAAGCCCAGATTCTGGTTCATTGTAGACCTAGATCAGCATGTGTGTGTGCAACGGTATATTTTAAATTGGAAGAATACGCGAAACTATTATTTTAGATGCATCAGAGGATAGGATGAACTTTAATGTCCCAAGGGGAAAATAGCTACACAGAAGCTACATCAAGTAAGAGAACATGTAATGTAACATCTAATTAGGGTCCACTGGGAAACACTGACCAACACTTTGGTTCCAACCCAGTCACAACTCCTCCCTGGTTTTTTCATTCGTTGTCATGTCAAACAGCATTGTGTTCTAAGTACCCACTATATTCCAACTTTTGGTTGAAGTTTGATTGAACAAACTGGATCAGAATGGAGAAAGCCCCATTTGAAAACACTTAGAATGTACTATATGTGTTGCCACCCTAGGGTCATGCACTACTCATAAAGCATATTTAGAACCTTTAGGCCAGACAAAATTTATTCACTGTTTAATGGATTTATCCCCCAGAAAAGTGAGGCGAGCGAAAAAAACCCCCAGAATAATAATATATAAACATTAAGTGGATAAGGAATAACAGTACTTTACCACATTGTCCTAGGCACTAATGCAGGCTTTAGGCCTAATGTGAGCTTCAAGAGTTGTATTATTCCATGCGAAAATCTACACTATTTTTCTTTAAAATAATGCAGATGTTACAATGTTGTTATAACCATGAAAAATGAAACCCAATGGGAAGTATAACTTGTGACAGTTTCTTTATTCCTGAATTTTTATTTTTATTTTTTTATCTCAAAATCAAGAACAAGTAATTGTAATCAAATTAAAATGTTGATGTATAATAATGAGTTCATGCATCTCTATAGCTTATGGGCGTTAACAAAATATTCATACAAATATGATTAGGCCTCTCATAGACTAGGCCTTGTAGAAAGAGGGTCAACGGGCGGCAGGTAGCTTAGTGGTTAAGAGCGTTGTGCCAGTAACCGAAAGGTCGCTGGTTCTAATCCCCGAGCCGACTAGGTGAAAAATCTGTCGATGTGCCCTTGAGCAAGGCACTTAGCCCTAATTGCTCCTGTAAGTCGCTCTGGATAAGAGCGTCTGCTAAATGACCAAAAATTTAAAAAAATAAATCAAGTTAGGTCTGCCAAATTAATGTATCATTGGAAAAAATACATAAATCCAGCCATAGAGTATAGCCTATCATCATCAAAATAGAAAATGTTGTTTATAACATGCACAATTAGAAGCAGCAATCTATATAGAGCAAGCTTGACTAAATTCGAGCCCAGTAACTTTGCTCACCGCATCCTCCTTCGATTGTCTCGTCTGGCTGCCACGAAAAGCCCCCACCTTGGAGACAGTCGATCACAACATTGTGGAGCTGCTGATCTGCACGAAGTGTGTGCGTGCCACTGGCGATGTACTTTGCTGGACATGCTAGCTGTTTTCGGCGGCGCATCATCACTTCAAACGCATTCCGTCTTGGTGTTATCGGTTGGCCTACTACTACTGGTAGTACCGGTAAAATGTAAGTAATGAATCGCAAATCACCATACAGCTGACACACTTCAATTTCATCAATCATTTTGACTTCAATTTGGTTGTCCAAAATACTATCAGCTTGCACTGCGTCTTTGCTGATGAATGCCCTGATCTCTGGCCAGTCAATTGGTTCAATGTCACTGTTGTTTTGTCTATTAATCACTTCTAATAGATCTGAAAATGATGCATTAACCATGAATGTAACCGACTGTTTGTTTATAATGAGGGACGTCCCACGTTTAACCTGGACATACAAATAGTAGGAATTTGCACTGGCTTCAGCCATGACGGCATGAGAGAGAAATGAAACATCTGCAAGTCGCCTGCAGGTGCAAGCGTGTGTGTTTCACTGTCCAATCCGATGCTCGAACATGGTCTGAGCGCGTGATCTGAGCCTGCCAGGGTTGTGGGTTCGATTCCCACGGGGGGCCAGTATGAAAAATTAAAAACATTATATGTATGCACTCACTAACTGTAAGTCACTCTGGATAAGAGTGTCTACTAAATGACTAAAATGTAATGTAAATGTTTGGTCTCTTGCGCATTAACTTGGGAAAGCCTCAAGGGAGAGCGGACAGTGCATTATAAACAAAGTGCTGCATATATTGCCGAAAGAATAACATCCAATTGTTTTATTTGCGGGGTGTGGAGAAAAGTAAGCCCGGGCATCCGTTAAACAGTCCGGCCTTATTATTAAACCTAAAATACCTTCAAATATGTCATACCGTCAAATTTGAAAAATATCGTAATGCTGTTTGGGCCATATCGCCCAGTCCTGCCAACACTTTCTCTAGCCATTTTGTTAACCACAGACCAGGACAACTGGGAAACCAGGAGGCATCTCATACGTTGTTCACAAATTCTGTATGTTTGTGTCTGGTTAGGTTATTTTAGAACACCTTTTCAGTTCTTAGACCATTTGATTCTATCCATTTTAACCGAACCTAGGGCCCACATCTAGATCTGTTCTATTTGCTGGTGGGCTTCCCCGCCCATCCACCTCCATAGCTGTCTATGAATAGAAATTGTGCATGCCTAATTAAGCCTGCATTCAATGCAGTGCACATTGAAGTGACTGCAGCTATTATTGGCACAACATGCAGACTACAGCTTGGAGATCTGCCAAGTGTTAAGATTTCTATCGGGTGTTGTCAGAGGACCTGTAGGCACGTGAATTTGCGTGCGTGTGTGTGCATGCGTATGTGTGCGAGCATCTGTGGTTTTAAAATTAGGATAAGTAGAAAAAGGGTTTCAACTTTCAAGCCCTCTGTAGAGCACCATTGGTAAGACTCTCTGTGTTTTGGGTGTTTTGTCTAGTTTGTTTCCAGCTTCATTTTGCTCCAACCACAAGACTCGTCCTGGTGAAAATAAAAACCTACCATTTGTTAGCACTTTTCTTTCTTTCATAGGTATCAGATGTGGTTATGTGGGTGGGTTTGTTTGGCCTGATCAGATTGGTTGTGATTTTGACAATTATTTTCCTTCTCAGCTATATGTACTGGACAGACTGGGGGGAGGAGCCTCGCATCGAGAGGGCAGGGATGGACGGAAGCAACAGGAAGATCATCGTGGAGGTGGACATCTATTGGCCCAACGGCCTCACCATTGACCTGGACGAACAGAAACTGTACTGGGCAGACGCCAAGCTGAGCTTCATACACAGAGCCAACCTGGACGGCTCCTCACGGTTAGTCTGTCTTCTCTCTCACACATTTTCTCCCTGTTCTTCTCATTATTGTTTTTTTACACCCTTCATGGAAAAACAGCCAGGGATCCCAGACTGAACTATGGCACTGGGCTCAACTTAATTTCAGAGGATGGTATGGATGAAACCTCCAATCCAAACACATTTGACTCTGGAGGCCCCAATCCAAACATTGTCTCTGCACGTAGGCCTAGTTGTGACCCCTCCCTCCATGTGGTTCTCTAAACTGGAAATGACCTCTCCGCCATACTGTTGTAACCGTATCTGACTTGGCATTATGGTCGTGATTGGGGCCCTCAGGGCAAGGGTTGACTTTCCTTTGTATAACTGAGATTTAATGGCAATATTAATAAAGAGAGGTATGGCATGTTTACCTTCTCTTGTTCAGACAATAGACTGCTTTCTTCAGGGTGTAGAGTGAGAGAGGCTCTTTTCTCAAGACCAATGCAGTTGTATTGCCCTCAGAGTTTGAGTATAACTTCCTCAGGAAAATATTTCCCAGTTTGAAATTAAGTTGTGATTTATAACTTTGAAAAATTAAGCATAGTAAATGAGATTGAGGATACGAATAAGATGCACCATGGTAGAACTCTCCAATTGGCAAGAAACAATCGAATTGCTTAATTGACCTCCAGTAATGGTACTCCACTGTTGAAGTTTGTCGGAATTATCGTAAGCACTTTACGGAGAAATGTAAACTACATCCCAGAAGTAGTTTCTGTTAGAATTGACTTCTTCTCTGTGTTAAAGCGAGAGGTTTTGTTTTTCATGTGCACATTCTTGAGACGTCTGATTAATGGAGCAGTTTGCAGTATATTTCCAATGGCTTCAAATGTCCAACTTCCAAGTACGTCAAATGCAAAATAGCTGTGAAATCTGGATGTAATAAATGTTTTCTCTCCCAACCAAGTTCTTCCCACGCTATTAACATTTTGGTGAGAACATGCTGTCACCCTCCTCCCTCTACCCCTCTGGAAATGGATCCCTTACCAACCAACCCTAACAAAGCCTGGTGATTGATGAGGTCCTGAACAGAATTCTGCTGTATCAGGATTCTTAACACTTGTGCATCGGCATGCCATGCTTTGATTCTGAATGTATTTATGTCGTCACCGGCCTGACTGTGTGTTGTCTGGTGGAGCAGAGGGAAGCAGAGTGCTGTACTTCTGGATGGGACTGCGCTCTGTGCTGTGCTGTTCTGCTCTGACTTACTTCCCCACTGAATCAGGACAGCTGTATCATTAGTACAACCGTTCCCCTTCTAAAGAGTGTACCATAAGCTCCATTAAAGTCTGACAGCCTGATTTTGTTGTATTTCCCCCTGGAAAGGGCTTGAAGGGGCTCCTGAACTGTGGTTCCATGATGTCGCTACGTGTTCTAACAGATCTGCTTTAGGGTCTCATTGAGATCCCAACCTAGGTTGTTGTGGTGGTTTATTTTTGGTCTGAATTCTATGCTACTGTCAGAAAGTCTGGGTTTTTGCCATTGTTTTTGCCATTGAGTGCTGTGTTTGGTGTCATGACATTCACGCCTGTAGAATGGCTGAGAACCACAACTTGAACAATATTTTTTTTTAACAAATACAATTTCGGAACATATTAGTGTCAGCTGATACTCATCTTCATTGCTTTTTAACTTTCCTCTCACAGCAGTAGTTTTGAACTATCATGCATTAATGATAAAAATTGTATTCTGATCTGTAAACATATGTTGAATTCACAGGGAGACTGTGGTGGAGGGCACCCTCACCCACCCGTTTGCCCTCACCCTGTCAGATGAGACTCTCTACTGGACAGACTGGCAGACCCGTTCTATCCATGCCTGCAACAAACACACTGGAGACAAGAGGAGGGAGATACTCAGTGGAATCTACTCCCCCATGGACATCCAAGTGCTGGGTTCAGATAGACAGCCAGATAGTAAGTACGGCTGCATCCAACTAGACAGCCAGACAGTGACTAGTGCTGGGTCCAGCTAGACTGCCAGACAGTAACTAGTGCTGGGTCCAGCTAGACTGCCAGACAGTAACTAGTGCTGGGTCCAGCTAGACTGCCAGACAGTAACTAGTGCTGGGTCCAGCTAGACTGCCAGACAGTAACTAGTGCTGGGTCCAGCTAGACTGCCAGACAGTAACTAGTGCTGGGTCCAGATAGACAGCCAGACCGTAACTAATGCTGGGTCCAGATAGACAGCCTACATGTATGTACGTGGGTGCATGTATGATCATCTTGTTTGGATAAAGCAAATAGTGTAAATCAATCAGACAGCCAGACAGTAAGTAGTGCCTTTCCAGTTCAGTCTGCAAGTGCAACAAGTTAATGTTAAGTTCACATGAATGTCCCCCCAGTACTCATAATTAATGTTCCTAAGCACAACATAACAGATTCTCTTCGTTTTGGAAGGATATTTTTAGACTGACCTGTTGGTCAGTTAGTGTGCATACACAGGAAAATGGAGTCATGGTGTACAATTCATCTGTCAAGAAATGAACATTTTCAAATGTCTGGCATGCATTCCTGGCTGGACAAATAAATGTCTGTGCTGTGCAGAAACAGAAACGTTCCAGCACGCTATGATTCCCATCTCCGTGGCGTTTGTGTGTGTGCGTGCATGAGTGTGTGTGTTGAGACTGGGGAGTGACAAACTGATTACTTTGGATGTGTGTAAACATTGGTGCGCCAGTCTTTGTGTGTGTTTGTTTGGGGAGTGAATGATAAAGAACTCCACCATTTATGGTGGTTTGCTTCTCTCCAGGAGTTTGGGGAGGGCATGGGATGTAAAGAAAGGAGAGTTAGACAAAAATAAAATAAACTTGAGTAAACGACATGGAAATTGAGGAGGTAGGCCATTAGATAAGAAACATTGGCCAATAAATCACCTTACCTGTACAGTGCCTTCGGAAAGTATTCAGACCCCTTGACTTTTCCACATTTTGTTATGTTACAGCCTTATTCTAAAATGGATTAAATAAAACAATTTCCTCATCAATCTACACACAATACCCCATAATGACGACGCGATAACAGGTTTTTAGAAATGTTTGCAAATGTATTAAAAACAAAAAACAGATATCATATTTACATAAGTATTCAGACTCATTGCTATGAGACAAAAAATTGAGCTCAGGTGCATCCTGTTTCCATTGATCATCCTTGAGATGTTTGTACAACTTGATTGGAGGCCTCCTGTGGTAAATTCAATTGATTGGACATGATTTGGAAAGGCACACACCTGTCTATATAAGGTCTCACAGTTGACAGTGCATGTCAGAGCAAAAACAAAGCCATGAGGTCGAAGGAATTGTCCGTAGAGCGCCGAGACAGGATTGTGTCGAGGCACAGATCTGTGAAGGGTACCAAAACATTTCTGCAGCATTGAAGGTCCCCAAGAACACAGTGGCCTCCATCATTCTTAAATGGAAGAAGTTTGGAACCACCAAGACTCTTCCTAGATCTGTCCGCCCGGCCAAACTGAGCAATCGGGGGGGGAGAAGGGCCTTGGTCAGGGAGGTGACCAAGAACCTGATGGTCACTCTGACAGAGCACCATGGTTCCTCTGTGGAGATGGGAGAACCTTCCAGAAGGACAACCACTCTGCAGCACTCCACCAATCAGGCCTTTATGGTAGAGTGGCCAGATGGAAGCCACTCCTCAGTAAAATACACATGACAGCCCTCTTGGAGTTTGCCAAAAGGCACCTAAAGAATCTCAGACCATGAGAAACAAGATTGAACTCTTTGGCCTGAATGCCAAGCATCACGTCTGGAGGAAACCTGGCACCATCCCTACGGTAAAGCGTGGTGGCAGCATCATGCTGTGGGGATGTTTTTCAGCGCCAGGGACTGGCAGACGAGTCAGGATCGAGGCAAAATGAACGGAACAAAGTACAGAGATCCTTGATGAAAACCTGCTCAAGGGCGCTCAGGACCTCAGACCCTAAGCACACAGCCAAGACAACACAGGAGTGGCTTCGGGACAAGTCTCTGAATGTCCTTGAGTGGCCCAGCCAGAGCCCGGACTTGAACCCGATCGAACATTTCTGGACAGACCTGAAAATAGCTGTGCAGCAACGCTCCCCATCCAACCTGACAGAGCTTGAGAGGATCTGCAGAGAAAAATGGGAGAAACTCCCCAAATACAGGTGTGCCAGGCTTGTAGCGACATACCCAAGAAGACTAGAGGCTGTAGTTGCTGCCAAAGGTGCTTCAACAAAGTACTGAGTAAAGGGTCTGAATACTTATGTAAATGTGATATTTAAGTTAATTTTCTACAAACCTGTTTTTGCTTTGTCATTATGGGGTATTGTGGGTAGATTGAGAGAAAAAGATAATATATATAATCAATTTTAGAATAAGGCTGTAACCTAACAAAATGTGGAAAAGGTTGAGGGGTCTGAATACTTTCCGACGGCACTGTATTTCAAGCCTCCATAACTCAAATCCAAAAATGTATTGGGTTTTTAAAACTGTGTGAGAAGAGTTTGAGTAGTTTGGCCTTTGACTGTGGCCTTGTTGTAATCAGCCTGTAGTGCTGTGTGAAGGGGGAGGGTTGGTGTTTGCTGCTCTGCTGTGCCAGCCGCTGGACTCTGTAGCTCTGTAGTGCCATGCTGAGCGCGTGACCCAGTAGACAGGGCAAAATCACACCACAGGATATCAAACTTTATGGCACAGCTATTGTCCAAGCAGCGATTTTATTGTTGGTTTTGTTTGGAGAGAAACAATTATTTGGGTTTATATTTAGTCTTTCCAAGTTTTCACCCAGTTGTTATGTTGTGAAAATGGTTCTCTGAATATACACCAATGCATTCGACTAGAACAGTCCCTCCAGGATTATGCGATTCTGTGATAGAATAGTTTTTGTTGCAAAATCATCAATTCTCTGCGTATTATGCGAGGGCTTGCAAATTTGACCAATCACTGCATTATTTCTGCATAAAACATTCAAATCATTGCAATATTATCACATAAAACTGACCCATCACCGCAGTACAAAAAGAGGGCTTGCAATTTCAAACAATCGCATGTGTTTTAATCAAGCTACACATCAACAAACTTTCCCTAGTCAGTGCAGTTTTGTGAGAAATTGAACAATCATCTGAAAATGTCAGAATTGCGGTAGCAAAATCAAGAACTTTTCCCACAAATATCCCAAAAAATCCAAACGAAATCCTGGAGGGACTGATGGGAGTTTGCAGTGTAGATTTCAGGCTTAGTCAGTGAAACTGAAAGGACCCTATCTCAGCGTTATCTCTTCTGACATTGCTCATTGCTCCCACAGTCCATACCCCCTGCAGTGACGGCAACGGAGGCTGCTCCCACCTGTGCCTGCTGTCGCCCATGCAACCCTTTTACAGCTGTGCCTGCCCCACTGGAGTCAAGCTCAAGGAGGATGGGAAGACCTGTCGCCCAGGTAAGAGACTAGCCACTGTGGCCTGGGGGCATCTGGTGTGGGTTACTTGCTACCCAGTAGAGTGTCCCATATATTATACTGTATGTGTCCCAAATGGCACCCTATTCCCTATACAGTGCACTACTTTTGAACAGAGCTCTATGGGCCCTGAATGGTCAAAAGTAGTGCATTATATAGGGAATAGGGTGCCATTTGAGACTCGGCCAATACAATGGCCCCAGTGATAACTCCCTTTGCTAATGCTACTGTACATGTGTTGTGGTTTCACATTAGACATTACCATCTGGTGTATGGGACATTATTGACATTCCTGAGGTGATTTTATGGACTGTCTTGAATTAGGCCTATTGTACTGCAAGAGCTGCTCTTAATAATTTCATGCGATAGTGTCAAAAGTCATATTGTCCCAATTTCTTTAAATAGATTAGGAAATAAGACAAAGCTCTACTTTTAATTTCATAATGATTTGCACAGTAATTAAGCATCAAATTTAGTTATGTTTTTTATACAGTTGTTCAGTTGAGGTTTTTGTCTTGGGTGCATTGGCATCCTGTTCCTCAACAAAACATTAGCATGCCTAACCAGAGAGCCATGACAGAGACCTAATCTCTGACAGATGGTTCCTACAGGCTGCAAGCTTCTGAATGCACAATTTACTCTGCCGTTTGCTCTTAATTTCTATTGCCTCCACATACAGACAGCTACATTTAGGCTAGAAGCATACCTCTCCACCCCCTCCTCTCTGCACATTCTCTACTTTCCAGAGTTTACCAAAGGCCACATGTGACTGACTGAGATTCAGGAAGGTTGGACCTCTTTTTATGCATTGTTGTGTTTCTGCTGCTGTCATTCCCCTTGCTCTGCTACTTCCAATCTCATCACCTTGCTTCTGGGCAGAGATACATTACGCAGAGAGCCAGGCCTAATCAGGTCACTGCTCCGTTTGTGTGTTTAGTGGATACGGCCTGGGCTCATCCTGCAAAATGAAACCTGTTTGTTTGACTTGCCCCAGGGTGTGTTTACATTCCCTCTGGTCTCGCTCTCTCTCTCTTCTCCTCTCCTCTCCTTGCTCGTCTGGACACCCCTTCAAATTAGTGGATTCTGCCATTTCAGCCCACCCGTTGCTGACAGATGTATAAAATCGAGCACACAGCCATGCAATCTCCATAGACAACTATTGGCAGTAGAATGGCCTCACTGAAAAGCTCAGTGACTTTCAACATGGCACAGTCATAGGATGCCGCCTTTCCAAGAAATCAGTTGGTCAAATATCTGCCCTGCTAGATCTGCCCCGGTCAACTGTAAGTGCTGTTATTGTGAAGTGGAAAAGTCTAGGAGCAGGAACGGCTCAGCCGCGAAGTGATAGGCCCACACAAGCTCACAGAACGGGACTGCTGAAGCACGTAGCGTCTGTCATCGGTTGCAACACTCACTTCCAACTGCCTCTGGAAGCAACGTCAGCACAGTAACTGTTCGTCGGGATCTTCATGAAATGGGTTTCCATGGCCGAGCAGCTGCATACAACCTAAGATCACAATGCTCAATGCCAAGTGTCGGCTGGAGTGGTGTAAAGCTCGCCGCCATTGGACTCTGGAGCCGTGGAAAAGCATTCTCTGGAGTGATGAATCACGCTTCACCATCTGGCAGTCCGACGGAGGAATCTGGGTTTGGTGGACGCCTGGAGAACGCTACCTGCCCGAATGCATAGTGCCAACTTTAAAGTTTGGTGGAGGAGGAATAATGTTCCAACATCTAGTGGAAAACCTTCCCAGAAGAGTGGAGCAAATGGGGGACCAACTCTATATTAATGCCTGTGATTTTGGAATGAGATGTTCGCGAAGCAGGTGTCCACTTACTTTTGGTCATGTAGTGTATATTATGATGCCATTTTGTGGCGATTTTGGCCGTTTTGGCCTTCAACACGGGTTTTTTCAGCTGTTCATGCGCTCAACGAAAAAACTATTGAGGCAAGACTAAGTCTACGCCCCTTCGTCAGTGATTGGTCAACAGTAGGGATTCTTCAATGAAGTGTGTTTTGTCAATTAACGATAGATGACTCGCTTGAATGCGCATTTTTTTTCTTGAAATACTGCACCAAACATTTTAGTTAGATGTAAAATTGCGCGACTAAGATCTCCTCTGCAAAAACATACAAATGAATGACAGATTTCTTGAGTTATCTTAGATTAGTGTTGACTATTTTGAGGAAGTGTGTACTACAAACAGTACTATTTCCTATTTTTTCTAATTTTTCAGCTGAACCGAAACATACAGAAAGAAGCCTTAAGGAGAGACCCACCCACAACCCTCATGTGTGTATAAAGGTGACAGACTTGTCTAAAGGGAAAGATAAAAAATGGGGTTGTGGGGGATTTCTTGGTCAACCCTTGTTTGAGCAGTGACAGCCCTTTGATTGGAGGCTGTTTTACCTGGGATACCTCCCAGTTTTTTACTTTTTTGCTTATCTTTAACTTTTTTTTAAAGGACCTGTAAGTAAACAGTTCACTGTTTGTCTATACCTGTTGTTTACGACGCATTTGACAAATAAAATGTTATTTTATTTGTTGGAATGAACCAGTTAGACAACAAGCCAAGGTAGTCCTAATTCTGAAACCCAGGTTCAGGCCTGGACTGTCATAGTCCTGGTTCCAATCCCTCTCTGCAGGGGACAGAAAACACTATTGTCTATGTGCACCAGTCCTGTTAACGACAGCCCATTCATTACCCCAAAAGGACTCTCCTCTCCCAGGCCAGGGATGCAGCAGAGCCTCTCTATTTGAATTTATAACTCTTCCAAATTTAGGCAGTGTATTCCCAGGCCAGGAAACAATGAGTCTTATTCTTCTAGCCTTCATTCCAGAGGCGCAAGTAAAACATAGTGTGTGTGTTAGGGTAACGGAGGGGAGTTAGTTATCCCGGCCTGATAGAACATAGATGTATTCAGTGACTACAGGATTAAACAGACCTCCAGCAGTGTTGACAGCTAAACAGAATGTAAGACAATACCACATTGTATCAGCTCTGATTAGGAGGAAAGCAGTGGGGGTGAGTGAGTGGGGGGGGGGGGGCTGTGTGAAGTTTAAAAAGAGCAAGCATCCACGCTCCTCATTTTGTTTAGCTTGGGTGGCTAAATGGAGGGCATTTGAGGTCACTTTGTCAAATGTGAAGCAGACCAAGGAGCGAATTTAAATCAAAGACGTGGCGTCGTTCTCTTCTTGATGGAAAATGAAGGGCAGTTTTTTTACTGTCATTACTGATTGGTGTCACCCCTGATGGATGACCCTTCTGATTGAGCATCAGTAGTCTGCTGCTGGTTTTAGGGGTCCTGGAGTGTAAATGGCTAAAACAGGAGAAGAGTTGGACCTAATTCCCTCCGCAGAGTGTGGCTCCAGTGAGCAAATGCAGCTTCTATTTAAGCCGTTCTCAGTGGCGGCTAGGATTCCCCTAAGGAAACATAATAATAATAATAATAATAATATGCCATTTAGCAGACGCTTTTATCCAAAGCGACTTACAGTCATGCGTGCATACATTTATTTATTTATTTTTTTATTATTATTATTTTTTTGTGTATGGGTGGTCCCGGGGATCGAACCCACTACCTTGGCGTTACAAGCGCCGTGCTCTTACCAGCTGAGCTACAGAGGACCACAATCTTTATACACAACCGATTTTAGATAAAGGCTAAACTTAAAGATATTTGAAATATATATTTTAATCTGGTCTAAAGCCTCTCCTCACTTTTTTTTCCATGATGAAAAAGTGATCAAATATCTTATTTTCATAAACAAACAAATAAAATACAAGAATTTAAAGTTGCACTATAAATTTCCATCTGAAATGTTGTCTTTACCAAAACATATTAATTTATGCTTGTCAGGTATGGCTATATAGGACCTCGGATTAATCCCCAATAAGCTGTTATTTCACATGCCAGTTGAATGTCATGCTCTCGCCCCACTCATTCCCACTTATGGCTACTTCTCTACCCCAGGTGCGGAGCAGGTTCTGCTGCTGGCTAGGCGGACTGACCTGAGGAGGATTTCTCTGGACCTCCCAGACTTCACAGACATCGTTCTGCAGGTGGACGACATCCGCCATGCCATCGCCATCGACTATGACCCTGTGGACGGATATGTGTACTGGACGGACGACGAGGTTAAAGCCATCCGCCGCTCCCGCATTGACGGCACCGAGGCCCAGACCCTGGTCACCACGGAGATCAACCACCCAGATGGCATTGCGGTGGATTGGGTGGCCCGGAATCTGTACTGGACGGATACAGGGACTGACCGAATTGAGGTTACAAGGCTGAACGGAACCTCCCGGCGCATTCTGATCTCAGAGAACCTGGATGAACCAAGGGCCATTGTGCTGGACCCTGTCCATGGGTAAGTGTGTCCGTTTATAGACAATTTAGATTCATGGCTTTTTTCTTTCTTGATCACAGTAATCAATTTGAACTAATTTCAGCAAAACATTTGTATTTCTCCTTCATTGCCTATGGGTAAATCCATTGGAATTCAATAACTTTTTGACAGCATTCCCTTTGATTTAAACAAAACCTTCCATACGCGTTTGCCCATGGAAGAAGTGGTCAGAAAGTGACTTTGGACCTGAATGCCAAAACATTCAGGAGATAAAGGTGCTCAAAGTTGACCCATTTTACATACCTCATCATACCATGAGACAACCATGTCTTCATCAATGGAAAAGATAAACGGTTGAGTTTAATATAATTTAAAAGCTTATTAACAGTTTCAAACACAACATGCTCTTGAATACAGTGTGGATGTCATTTCAATCAAATAAATATAATTAATTGAATGGACCTGTCCCTTCAGACCACTGCAACTTAGCTGGTAAATTGAATCGAAATTTTAACATCTAATTACTACCACAAAGATGACTACTTGTCCACCCACCGTCGAATGTAAATTTAAGTGGTCTTGTCTATTCTATTATCTATATTTCTATGATTTCAAAAGGTTTCCTATGGAGGATTGACAGTATAATTTAAAACAACAGATATTCCCATTCAAGTCAACGTTCTCTGTGTGGACCTCCAACCATCTTTGTGGTACCATTTTGACATTTCAATTTTATACCCATTTTAGTACATTTATCACCCAAAACATGACAGCCACCCTCTATTCATGAGTATGTTGTCTCAACCAATGGCAGGCACAACATAAAAACCATAGATAATGTCTAAGTTACAACATCAGTATACAAATTTTTTGATAATTGACGTTGAAGGTGAAAAAAATTACATTTTTATTTTAAAACATTATTTTCCAGAAATTATTAAAGAGTTTGACAACCCTGTTTTTGTAAGCTTTTTAAATTATATAAATCTCAACCGTTTATCTTTTCCAGTGATGAAGACATGGATGGCTCAAATTTTATTTGCCACGTGCAGAATACAACAGGTGTAGACATTACAGTGAAATGCTTACTTACAAGCCCTTAACCAACAATGCATTTTTTAAGTTTTATTTTTTTAAAGTGTTAAGTAAAACATTTTTAAGCAAATAACTAAAGAGCAGCAGTAAAATAAATTAACAGTAGGGAGGCTATATACAGGGGGGTACTGGTGCAGAGTCAATGTGCGAAGGCACCGGCTAGTCGAGGTAATTGAGGTAATATGTGCATGTTGGTAGAGTTAAAGTGACTATGCATAAATAATAAACAGAGTAGCAGCAGGGTAAAAGAGGGGGGTGGGGGGGCAGTGCAAATAGTCCGGGTAGCCGCTCGGTATAGAGGTCCTGGATGGCAGGAAGCTTGGCCCCAGTGATGTACTGGGCCGTACACACTACCCTCTGTAGTGCCTTGCGGTCGGAGGCCGAGCAGTTGCCATACCAGGTGGTGACGCAACCAGTCAGGATGCTCTCGATGGTGCAGCTGTAGAACATGCCAAATCTTTTCAGTCTCCTGAGGGGGAATAGGCTTTGTCGTGCCCTCTTCACGACTGTCTTGGTGTGTTTGGACCATGATAGTTTGTTGGTGATGTGGACACTAAGGAACTTGAAGCTCTCAACCTGTTCCACTACAGCCCCGTCGATGAGAATGGGTGCATGCTCAGTCCTCTGTTTTTTTCCTGTAGTCCACAATCATCTCCTTTGTCTTGATCACGTTGAGGGAGAGGTTGTTATCCTGGCACCACATGGCCAGGTCTCGGACCTCCTCCCTATAGGCTGTCTCATCGTTGTTGGTGATCAGGCCTTAATGATGGTGTTGGAGTCGTGCCTGGCCATGCAGTCATGGGTGAACAGGGAGTACAGGAGGGGACAGAGTAAGCACCCCTGAGGGGCCCCCGTGTTGAGGATAAGCGAGGCAGATGTGTTGTTACCTACCCTTACCACCTGGGGGCGTCCCGTCAGGAAGTCCAGGATCCAGTTGCAGAGGGAGGTGTTTAGTCACAGGATCCTTAGCTTAGTGATGAGCTTTGAGGGCACTATGGTGTTGAACGCTGAGCTGTAGTCAATGAACAGCATTCTCACGTAGGTGTTCCTCTTGTCCAGGTTGGAAAGGGCAGTGTGGAGTGCAATAGAGATGGCATCATCTGTGGATCTGTTGGGGCGGTATGCAAATTGGAGTGGGTCTAGGGTTTCTGGGATAATGGTGTTGATATGAGCCATGACCAGCCTTTCAAAGCACTTCATGGCTACAGACGTGAGTGCTACGGGTCGGTAGTCATTTAGGCAGGTTATCTTAGTGTCGTGGGCACAGGGACTATGTTTCTGCTTGAAACATGTTGGTATTACAGACTCAGTCAGGGACAAGTTGAAAATGTCAGTGAAGACACATGCCAGTTGGTCAGCACATGCTCGGAGTACATGTCCTGGTAATCCGTCTGGCCCTGCGGCCTTGTGAATGTTGACCTGCTTAAAAGTCTTACTCACATCTGCAACGGAGAGTGTGATTACATAGTCATCCGGAACAGCTGGTGCTCTCATGCATGCTTCAGTGTTGCTTGCCTCGAAGCAAGCATAGAAGTGATTTAGCTCGTCTGGTAGGCTTGTGTCACTGGACAGCTCATGGCTGTGCTTCCCTTTTGTAGTCTGTAATAGTTTTCAAGCCCTGCCACGTCTGACGAGTGTCAGAGCCGGTGTAATACGATTCAATCTTAGTCCGGTATTGACTCTTTGCCTGTTTGATGGTTCATCGGAGGGCATAGTGGGATTTCTTATAAGCGTCCAGGTTAGAGTCCCGCTCCTTGAAAGCGGCAGCTCTACCCTTTAGCTCAGTGCGGATGTTGCCTGTTATCCATGGCTTCTAGTTGGGGTATGTACGGTCACTGTGGGGACGACGTCATCAAAGCACTTCTTGATGAAGCCAGTGACGGATGTGGTGTACTGCTCAATGCTATCTGAAGAATCCAGGAACATATTCCAGTCTGTGCTAGCAAAACAGTCCTGTAGCTTAGCATCTGCGTCATCTGACCACTTTTTTATTGACCGAGTCACTGGTGCTTCCTGCTTTAGTTTTTGCTTATAAGCAGGAATCAGGAGGATAGAGTTATGGTCAGATTTGCCAAATGGAGGGCGAGGGAGAGCTTTGTATGCGTCTCTGTGTGTGGAGTAAAGGTGTTCTAGAGTTTTTTTCCCTCTGGTTGCACATTTGGTAGAATGTGCAACCACTGGTAGAAATGAGGTAGAACGGATTTAAGTTTCCCTGCATTAAAGTCCCCGGCCACTAGGAGTGCTGCCTCTGGATGAGCGTTTTCCTGTTTACTTATGGCCTTATACAGCTCATTGAGTGCAATCTTAATGCCAGCATCGGTTTGTGGTGATAGATAGACAGCTACGAAAAATTTAGATGAAAAGTCTCTTGGTAAATAGTGTGGTCTACAGCTTATCATGAGATACTCTACCTCAGGCGAGCAAAACCTCAAGACTTCCTTAGTATTAGATTTTGTGCACCAGCTGTTGTTTAGAAATATACACAGACACAGTGGTATGGTGGTGTATGCAAATTATCTCTTGAACATTTTGGCATTCAGGTCCAAAAAGTCACTTTCTGACCACTTCTACAATGGGCAAATATGTATGGAGGCTTTCGTTCAAATCAAAAGGGGTGCTGTCAAAAAGAGATTACATTCAAATCGATTTTCCCTATGTACTTACCCCAACCTGTTGAATAATTTCAGTTCCATTCTCACTTAAAGCATTTTTGTTTAGTTTTAATTCTGTGCTGGTCTCTCTCCACAGTTATATGTACTGGACAGACTGGGGGGAGAAGCCTAAGATAGAGCGTGCTAACCTGGATGGAATGGAACGTCTCGTGCTGCTCAATACCTCGCTGGGTTGGCCCAACGGTTTAGCCATCGACTATGAAGCAGGAAAACTGTACTGGGGCGATGCAAAGACGGACAAAATTGAGGTAAGTCACAAAAAAGAGGTGTTTCTTATGCACCAAATAGTTTTGTATGGTGCAACTATAATATTCCCATCATGGTTTGATGCTGTTGATTGTGGAAGCAGTTGAGTTTAGATCTCCCTAGGACTTGTTGTTCTCTCATTCATTCCCCACATTTGAGGTTGTCTGGTGTGTTTGTGTTGCCTGTGGATGTTGAGAAGTGCTTCAGGAGCACATTCTTAGTTGAGGAGAGGCAGCTTTGGCCTGATATTTATCTGACCGTTGATCCCATGTGAGCGACAGAGGAATGTCAGAGAGAGCTCTTAGGTAATACCGGGACAGGCAACACTAGATTTCCTGTCAGACACGCACTGCAGTTTTATCATTGTTTGTATTCTTACGGCTAGGACTTTATACTGTACATATTTCCTGATTGCCTCTGTTTTAAAGCCAACTTTTTTGAAACCCGGATATTGCCCAATATTGTTATTTTTGGGGGGCCTTATACATGTGAATGACTGAATTATTTGAAGGGACTGTTCTAGGCCCCTCCTATGTGAGCGCGCGGTGGGTGATCATATCTTTAGAGGAATAGCTGTGTGCCTTCAAGGTCTCTGACTGTATTGTATGATTTATCGTCTACCTGCATGCACAGGTCCCTGGGTGTTGAATACCACGGTGGCCATATTTCTCCAGTCACATGCTCCATATAATATGCCGGAGCCGCCTCCCAGATGAGCTTTAACACAGAGCTTGATGGGAATTAGTTTGTTTTCCTTTTCCTTCTCACTCTCGTGTGTGTGTGTCCTGTTGGTTGAATATTCCCCTCCTTATCATAACTATGCCTTTACCAGTGGCTAGTGAACTCTGCTTGTTTAGGAGCAGTATGTCTGGCTGACCCCATCAGCCTTTGGAAGTTAACTGTTCCCTGGGTTTTCCTAGCTCGCCTCAGTCGCCTAGCACCCTGCAGGGGCATTGTTCACAGTATCTGAAAGCATAAACTACCCCTAGCTCCAGAGATGTAAGGGCAGCAGGTAAAGGGGGGGCTAGGGAGAAGACATTCCATTTATAGATGCACTCAAAAACTCTTGGTTGAACTGTACATCATTTTGAGCTGCCTAGCTAGAATGCTCTGAAGCTTGAAGTGTTAAATTTTCATTAAGGGGGTCAGACATGCAGGCTGGGATGAAAGAGCAGGGATTAGGGAGCTCCTGCTGAGATATTGAGCTCAATGAGAGGCCACAGACTTGTCCACATGTCACGATACCAGAATTTTGACTTCGGTACCAGTTTTAGTATCACGATACTCGATGCCATCACGATACTCTATAGCAAAACGATACCACAACAAAAAAAAGGCGTATTAGCCAGTCACAGAATGGCACTTGATCCAGACTGATAAACTCAGCTACTTCTCTGTTCAATCGTTGGGCATCATTTGAGTTCAATAGCATTACATTTGAACATTTTTATGTCGATTTGTTTTGAGACAGCCGTATAGCCTATGCATTAATGAATCAATTATACAATCAATTTGACGTTGTTTTTACCAACTAACTACAAAACAACATAATGGTAATAATTTTTTGAATGGTAAATCACTATTGATAAACTGGGTAAATCAAGATGTAGCCTAGGCCTATTCACAATATAGGTGAATGCATATTATTCAATAGGAGTGTGTGCATGCATTGAGTTATTGAGCTTGTTTTAGCTGGTTTCATGGGGCTACAGATGACAATCCCTTCCATTTAAGACATATTTTATTGGCAACTGCTAGGAGAACATATTTTATTGTACTGATCAACAACATTTGCATGGAAGAAACAATCTCTTATTTTTGTAAAAGTATGCGCTGTCTCTTTAAAGAAAGTAATGACATCATTGGCCAGGCAGAATGTGGCTGTGGAATCTGACTTTGTGGCTATGGAATAGTGGAAACCAGACGGGAGACGAAGAAGTGAATTTTATCACAAAGTACTAGGGTAGTGAATTCGGCTCTAAGCTAGCAAGGAAAGTTGGCTTACAATAAAGCAAAAAGCTGCCGGTATTGTCTTGCATTGTAAAAGTGTTCTAGCCTGTATGGACATTGTTTTGCGAAGAGTAATGAACAGTTTCAACATTTCTACATGCCGTGTTGCATTATTCAAGTGTGTTAACTTCAGTGCAGCATGAGTGGGGAGCCAACATTGCAGCCCAGACAGCTCTAGCAATGAATGAGTAAGTTGAGCAGGCACTTAAGAGGCTGCGCTGATAGACCGACTTGATCCTCTCAATCACGTGAGACACATTAGACAGAAGTACCCGAACAATACAAAAATTATACCACATGTAATGTCCCAGTCTCCCTTTTCCCCTCGCCTTAAACCAGGCATCTGTCCCTCTCTGAGGCTGGGGCTCTTGCTGGGGCTAGTTTTGACTAGTACCAGGCTCCAGCCAGCCTTGGGTTTTGTCCAGGGGGCACAGTGAAAATATGTTCTCTCCTGTCTGATGCAGTTGTCAACTCAGAGCTGTGGGGCAAAGCTTTCCTGAAAAGAGTGACAATGTTGTCTCAAGATCCCCACAGTTAAGGGTCCAGCCAGGGCAAACAGAGAAGTAGAAACAGCTCTTTGTCAGATGAAGATGTCAAACTTTTAATCCATCTGTATGTGCAGGTCATGAGGGTGAGGGACGCATTCTGTGAATCATATTTTTGGGTTGTTCCAAGATGAAGACTTAAAGTAACTGTCCAGTGTTTCCAGATTTCTATGAAATATGACCGATAATTACTTATAATATGAGTGAAATTGTTTTCCTTCCAAAACAATTAAAAGTAATTAATTGTGTTAGGTGAGATGAGGGCAGTGGGAAGGTAGGCCCCTAAATGGCAGGTAATCCAGGAAAGAAGACGAGTAGGCGGCCACTACATTGTAATAAACTTTTTTGTGAACTATTAACTGACAATGTATACAAAAGAATACATACAGGAGCCGATCAGCTTTGTACATGAGGACGCACAACTGCAGCGCAGTTGTGCAATGCTCATCTGCTGTTATGTATTCTTTTGTATATATAAACTGAACAAAAATATAAATGCAACATGCAACAATTTCAAAGATTTTACTGAGTTACAGTTCATATAAGGAAATCAGTAAATTGAAATAAATTCTTCAGGTCCTAATCTATGGATTTCACATGACTGGGAATACAGATATGCATCTGTTGGTCACAGATACCTTAAAAAAAAAAAAAAGTAGGGCCGTGGATCAGCAAACCAGTCAGTATCTGGTGTGACAACCATTTGCCTTATGCAGCGCGACACATCTCCTTGCATAGAGTTGATCAGGCTGTTGTGGCCTGTGGAATGTTGTCCCACTCCTCTTCAGTGGCTGTGCGAAGTTGCTGGATATTGGCAGGAACTGGAACAAGCTGTCGTACACGTTGATCCAGAACATCCCAAACATACTCAATGGGTGACATGTCTGGTGAGTATGCAAACCATGGAAGAACTGGGACATTTTCAGCTTGCGGGAATTGTGTACGATCCTTACGACATGGGGCCGTGCATTATCATGCTGAAACATGAGGTGATGATGGAGGATGAATGGCACAACAAATGGGCCTCAGGATCTCGTCACGGTATCTCTGCATTCAAATTGCCATCGATAAAATGCAATTGTGTTTGTTGTCCGTAGCTTATGCCTGCCCATACCATAACCCCACCGCCACCATGGGGCACTCTGTTCACAATGTTGACATCAGCAAACCGCTCGCCCACGATGCCATACACGTGGTCTGCGGTTGTGAGGCCAGTTGGACATGCTTCCAAATTCTCTAAAACAACAGAGCCGGCTTATGGTAGAGAAATTAACATTCAATTCTCTGGCAACAGCTCTGGTGGGCATTCCTGCAATCATCATTCCAATTGCACGCTCCCTCAAGACTTGAGACATCTGTGGCATTGTGTTGTGTGACAAAACGGCACATTTTAGAGTGGACTTTTATTGTTCCCAGCACAAGGTACACCTGTGTAATGTAATGATAATGCTGTTTAGTCAGCTTCTTGATATGAAACACATACTAATTTTCACAAAGTCTGCTGCCTCAGTTTTGATGATGGCAATTTGCGTATACTCCAGAATGTCATGAAGAGTGATCAGATGAATTGCAAAGTCCCTCTTTGCCATGAAAATGAACTTAATCCCCCAAAAACATTTCCACTGCATTTCAGCCCTGCCACAAAAAGCACCAGCTGCCATCATGTCAGTGATTCTATCGTTAACACGAGGATCCTGGCGCCGAAGATGGCGGCCTCGCGACTAGCTCTTAGGAAACTTAGCAGTATTTTGTTTTTTTATGTATTATTTTTTACATTATTAGCTCAGAAAGTGTTTTGCATAATTACATACAGCCGGGAAAAACTATTGGATATCAGAGCGGCGGTAACTTACCAGCATTACGACCAGGAATATGACTTTCCCGAAGCAGATCCTTTGTTTGCTCTCCCCAGGGCAACTGAACTGATTCCAGCGGCTGACCCAAAACATCGCCGACGGAGGAGAGGCACTCGGAGCGGCCTGCTGGTCCGACTTAGGAGGCGCGCACACCACCCACCGCTTCCAAGTATTCTACTCGCTAATGTTCAATCTTTAATTAACAAAGTCGACGACCTACGGGCAAGGATTTCTTTCCAGAGAGACATCAAGGCCTGTAACATACTATTTTTCACGGAAACATGGCTCTCTTGGGATATTCAGATGGGTCCAGCCAGATGGGTTCTCAGTTCATCGCGCAGACAGGAATAAATATCTCTCCGGGAAGCAGAAGGGCGGAGGTGTGTGTTTCATGATTAACGACTCGTGGTGTAATTGTAGTAACATAGAGGAACTCGAGTCCTTCTGTTCACCCGAGCTAGAATATCTCACAATCAAATGCCGACCGTATTATCTCCCAAGATAATTTTCTTCGGTTATAGTCACGGCCGTGTATATCCCCCCCTCAAGCCGATACCACGACGGCCCTCAAAGAACTTCACTGGACCTTATGCAAACTGGAAACCACATATCCTGAGGCTGCATTTATTGTAGCCGGAGATTTTAACAAAGCAAATTTGAGGACTAGGCTGCCGAAGATCTATCAACATATCGATTGTTGTACTCGCGCTGCTAAAATCCTTGACCATTGCTATTCAAACTTCCGGGATGGTTATAAGGCCCTCCTTTTGGGAAATTTGACCAAGACTCCATTTTGCTTCTCCCTTCCTATAGGCAGAAACTCAAACAGGAAGTATCCGTGCTATGGACTATTCAACGCTGGTCTGACCAATCGGAATCCACGCTTCAAGATTGTTTTGATCACGCGGACTGGGATATGTTCCGGGTAGCTTCTGAAAAAATTATATATATATATATATATATATATATATATATATATATATATATATATATACACACTGAAACAGTGACTGAGTTTATCAGGAAGTGTATAGGTGATGTTGTGCCCACTGTGACTATTAAAACCTACCCTAACCAGAAACTGTGGATAGACGGCAGCATTCGTGCAAATCTGAAAGCGCGAACCACCGCATTCAACCATGGCAAGGTGACTGGGATTATGGCTGAATACAACAGTGTAAATTTTTTTTTAAACATTGTAAAGTGGTTATCCCACTGGCTATAAGGTGAATGCACCAATTTGTAAGTCGCTCTGGATAAGAGCGTCTGCTAAATGACGTAAATGTACTCACTCCGCAAGGCAATTCAACTGGCAAAACATCAGTATAGAGACAAAGTGGAGTCGCAATTCAACAGCTCAGACATGAGACGTATGTGGCAGGGTCTACAGACAATCATGGACTACAAAAGGAAAACCAGCCACGTCGCCGACACGACGTCTCGCTTCCAGACAAGCTAAACACCTTCACCCGCTTTGAGGATAACTGTCACTGACGAGGCCCACTACCAAGGACTGTGGCCTCTCCTTCTCCATGGCCTACCTGATTAAGACATTTAAGCATGTTAACCCCCGCAAGGCTGCCGGCCCAGACGGCATCCCTAGCCGCGTCCTCAGAGCATGTGCAGACCAGCTGGCTGGTGTGTTCATGGACATATTCAATCTCTCCCTTTCCCAGTCTGCTGTTCCCACATGCTTCAAGAGGGCCACCATTGTTCCTGTACCCAAGAAAGCAAAGGTAACTGAACTAAATGACTATCGCCCTGTAGCACTCACCTCTATCATCACGAAGTGCTTTGAGAGACTAGTCAAGGATCATATCACCTCTACCTTACCTGTCACCCTAGACCCACTTCAATTTGCTTTCCGCCCCAATAGATCCACAGACGATGCAATTGCCATCACACCGCACACTGCCCTATCCCATCTGGACAAGAGGAATACCTATGTAAGAATGCTGTTCATTGACTATAGCTCAGCATTCAACACCATAGTACCCTCCAAGCTCATCATTAAGCTCGAGGCCCTGGGTCTGAACCCCGCCATGTGTAACTGGGTCCTGGACTTCCTGACGGGCCGCCCCCCAGGTGGTGAAGGTAGGAAACAACATCTCCACTTCGCTGATCCTCAACACTGGGGCCCCACAAGGGTGCGTGCTCAGCCCCCTCCTGTACTCCCTGTTCACCCATGACTGCGTGGCGAAGCACGCCTCCAACTCAATCATCAAGTGTGCAGACGACACAACAGTAGTAGGCTTGATTACCAACAATGACGAGACCGCCTACAGGGAGGAGGTGAGGGCTCTGGGAGTGTGGTGCCAGGAAAATAACCTCTCACTCAACATCAACAAAACAAAGGAGATGATCGTGGACTTCAGGAAACAGCAGAGGGTGCACCCCCCTATCCACATCGACAGGACCGCAGTGGAGAAGGTGGAAAGCTTCAAGTTCCTTGGCGTACACATCACCGACAAACTGAAATGGTCCACCCACGCAGACAGTGTGGTGAAGAAGGCGCAACAGAGCCTCTTCAACCTCAGGAGGCAGAAGAAATGTGGCTTATCACTTAAAACCCTCACAAACTTTTACAGATGCACAATTGAGAGCATCCTGTTGGGCTGTATCACCGACTGGTACGACAACTGCACCGCCCGCAACCGCAGGGCTCTACAGAGGGTGGTGCGGTCTGTCGAACGCATTACCGGGGGCAAACTACCCGCCCTCCAAGACACATACAGCACCCGATGTCACAGGAAGGCCAAAAAGATCATCAAGGACATCAACCACCCGAGACACTGCCTGTTCACCCCGCTATCATCCAGAAGGCGACGTCAGTACAGGTGCATCAAAGCTGGGACCGAGAGAATGAAAAACAGCTTCTGTCTCAAGGCCATCAGACTGTTAAATAGCCATCACTAGCACATTAGATGCTGCTGCTGCCTATTGAAATCACTGGTCACTTTAAGAAATGGAACACTAGTCACTTTAATAATGTTTACATATCTTGCACTACTCATCTCATATGTATATACTGCATTCTATTCTATAATATTCTTCTGTATCTTATTCCATGCCGCTCTGTCATTGCTTGTCTATATGTATATATTCTGAAATCCCGTTCCTTACTTTTTTGTGTGTATTGGGTATATGTTGTGAAATTGTTAGATATTACTGCACTGTCGGAGCTAGAAGCACAAGCATTTCGCTACACCCGCTATAACATCTGCTAAACAAGTGTATGTGACAAATAACATTTGATTTGAACACAGGTGAGAGTGTTGACGAGGACAAGGCTGGAGATCACGGTCATGCTGATTTAGGTTAGAATAACAGACTGGAAGCTTTAAAAGGAGGGTGGTGCTTGAAAACATTGTTCTTCCTCTGTTAACCATGGTTACCTGCAAGGAAAAGACGTGCCGTCATCATTGCTTTGCACAAAAAGGGCTTCACAGGCAAGGATATTGCTGCTAGTAAGATTGCACCTAAATCAACCATTTATCGGATCATCAAGAACTTCAAGGAGAGAGGTTAAATTGTTGTGAAGAAGGCGTCAGGGTGCCCAAGAAAGTCCAGCAAGCGCCAGGACCGTCTCCTAAAGTTGATTCTGCTGTGGGATCGGGGCACCACCAGTGCAGAGCTTGCTCAGGAATGGCAGCAGGCAGGTGTGAGTGCATCTGCACGCACAGTGAGGCGAAGACTTTTGGAGGATGGCCTGGTGTCAAGAAGGGCAGCAAGGAAGCCACTTCTCTCCAGGAAAAACAGCAGGGACAGACTGATATTCTGCAAAAGGTACAGGGATTGGACTGGGGTAAAGTCATTTTCTCTGATGAATCCCCTTTCCGATTGTTTGTGGCATCCGGAAAACACCTTGTCCGGAGAAGACAAGGTGAGCGCTACCATCAGTCCTGTGTCATGAGACCATTCATGTGTGGGGTTGCTTCTCAACCAAGGGAGTGGGTCACTCACAATTTTGCCTAAGAACACAGCCATGAATAAAGAATAGTACCAACACATCCTCTGAGAGCAACTTCTCCCAACCATCCAAGAACAGTTTGGTGACGACCAATGCCATTTCTAGCATGATGGAGCACCTTGCCATAAGGCAAAAGTGATAACTAAGTGGCTCGGGGAACAAAACATCGAAATTTTGGGTCCATGGCCAGGAAACTCCCCAGACCTTAATCCCATTGAGAACTTGTGGTCGATCCTCAAGAGGCGGGTGGACAAACAAAAACCCATACATTTTGACAAACTCCAAGCATTGATTATGCAAGAATGGGCTGCCATCAGTCAGGATGTGGCCCCAGAAGTTAATTGACAGCGTGCCAGGGCGAATTGCAGAGGTCTTGAAAAAGAAGGGTCAACACTGCAAATATTGACTCTTTGCATAAACTTAATGTAATTGTCAATAAAAGCCTTTGACACTTATGGAATGCTTGTAATTATACTTCAGTATACCATAGTAGCATCTGACAAAAATATCTAAAAACACTGAAGCAGCGAACTTTGAGAAGACCAATACTTGTGTCATTCTCAAAACTTTTGACCACGACTGTATACAGTTGAAGTCGGAAGTTTACATACACTTAGGTTGGAGTCATTAAAACTTGTTTTTCAACCACTCCACAAATGTATTGTTAACAAACTATAGTTTTGGCAAGTCGGTTAGGACATCTACTTTGCATGACACAAGTCATTTTTCCAACAACTGTTTACAGACAGATTATTTCACTTATAATTCACTGTATCACAATTCCAGTGGGTCAGAAGTTTACATACAGTAAGTTGACTGTGCCTTTAAACAGCTTGGAAAATTCCAGAAAATGATGTCATGGCTTTAGAAGCTTCTGATAGGCTAATTTACATCATTTGAGTCAATTGGAGGTGTACCTGGGGATGTATTTCAAGGCCTACCTTCAAACTCAGTGCCTCTGCTTGACATCATGGGAAAATCAAAAGAAATCAGCCAAGACCTCAGAAAAACAATTGTAGACCTCCACAAGTTTGGTTCATCCTTGGGAGCAATTTCCAAACGCCTGAAGGTACCACGTTAATCTTTACAAACAATAGTTCGCAAGTATAAACACCATGGGACCACGCAGCCATCATACCGCTCAGGAAGGAGACACTTTCTGTCTCCTAGAGATGAACGTACTTTGGTGCGAAAAGTGCAAATCAATCCCAGAACAACAGCAAACGACCTTGTGAAAATGCTGGAGGAAACGGGTACAAAAGTATCTATATCCACAGTGAAACAAGTCCTATATCGACATAACCTGAAAAGCCGCTCAGCAAGGAAGAAGCCACTGCTCCAAAACCGCCATAAAAAAGCCAGACTACAGTTTGCAAATGACATGGGGACAAAGATCATACTTTTTGGAGAAATGTCCTTTTGGCCTGATGAAACTAATATATAACACTTTGGCCATAATGACCATTGTTATGTTTGGAGGAAAAAGGGGGAGCTTGTAAGCCGAAGAACACCATCCAAACCGTGAAGCACAGGGGTGGCAGCATCATGCTGTGGGGGTGCTTTGCTGCAGGAAGGACTGGTGCACTTCACAAAATAGATGGCATCATGAGGAAGGAAAATTGTGGATATATTGAAGCAACATCTCAAGACATCAGTCAGGAAGTTAAAGTTAAATTTGTAAGTCGCTCTGGATAAGAGCGTCTGCTAAATGACTTAAATGCAAATGTAAAGCTTTGTCGCAAATGGGTCTTCCAAATGGAAATGGCCCCAAGCATACTTCCAAAGTTGTGGCAAAATGGCTTAAGGACAACAAAGTCAAGGTATTGGAGTGGCCATCACAAAGCCCTGACCTCAATCCTATAGAAAATGTGTGGGCAGAACTGAAAAGGCGTGTGCGAGCAAGTAGGCCTACAAACCTGACTCAGTTACACCAGCTCTGTCAGGAGGAATGGGCCAAAATTCACCCAATTTATTCTGGGAAGCTTGTGGAAGGCTACCTGAAAACGTTTGACCCAAGTTAAACAATTTAAAGGCAATGCTACCAAATACTAATTTAATGTATGTAAACGTCTGATCCACTGGGAATGTGATGAAAGAAATAAAAGCTGAAATAAATCCTTCTCTCTACTATTATTCTGACATTTCACATTCTTAAAATAAAAGTGGTGATCCTAACTGACCTAAGACAGGGAATTTTTACTAGGATTAAAAGTCAGGAATTGTGAAAAACTGAGTTTAAATGTATTTGGCTAAGGTGTATGTAAACTTCCGACTTCGAGCCCTGAATGCTGACAGCCGTGGTATGACAAAACATTTCTTGTTACCACTAATTACGTTGGTAACCAGTTTATAATAGCAATAAGGCACCTCGGGGGTTTGTGGTGTATGGCCAATATATCACAGCTAAGGGCTGTATCCAGGCACTCCGTGTTGCGTCCTGCATAAGAATAGCCCTTAGCCGTGGTATATTGGCCATATACCACACCCCCTCGTGCTTAATTCTAGTCTTTTTTTTTTCTGGACTACGTTTATTACTGCACGGTTGGAGCTACAAACACAAACATTTCGCTGCACCTGCAAATCTGTTTACGCAAACAATAAACTTGGATTTGATTCATGAAGGTAAAATGCGTCGCGCCAATGCACGATAGAAAGAAGAAGAAAAAACGTAGCGCCGGTATTGGGTCATATTTTTTAAATGGTATGGGCTAGAATCAAGCCGTTTCTCTGAGGAAAAGAGGGAGTCTTGGCTACAGAACCTGGCTATGAAATGCAGTGGGGAAAGTGGGAGGGTTGAGTGAGACCACAAATTCAAATAGACTACTTTCCTATACTCAAGGGGGGAGAAAAACAAATAAAGCTAGACTGTTTTACTATTAAACTCAATGCTGCTATTGTTTTTTTATTTAGTAAAGCAGCTTGTTTTTCTTAACCAGGCAAAGGGTAGCAAACTAGAAGGCTGGTGGTGACTGGTTAGCTACGGGGAAGCAAGAGAGTCGCCTGCGCGATGTGTATAATCGGAGCCCGGAGCAGAGCCTGTCTGCCCACACTCATTGCTTGCTCCCCCGCAGCTCACCAGCTGTTGTAGGCTATGTGTGCTGGGTGTGGTGCATCCTTCCTACTGCTGAACAGAACTGCGCTGCGCTTCTGTGCTGCTAATATTAATTGAAGTTATCATTGAAAAGCGCTCAATCTCTCCAAAAAGTATTGTCCAGTTCACTTAGTCAGATTTTAGTCATAGAGATAATTTAGTCTGGTTTTTGTCAACTAAATGAAAAATACAGGTTGTTTAGTTATAGTTTTTTCTGGGTCTATTTAGTTAGTTATAGTGTCGTCAATTGCCACAAAAAAAATAGGTATTTGACGAATATTTTAGGGTGTATGATTTTGATCCCCTCTTTGTTCATGGACACATAATTCAATTTCTGTTAGTCTGTGGAACTTGTTCAGTTTATGTCTGTTGTTGAATCTTATGTTCATACAAATATTTACACATGTTAAGTTTGCTGAAAATAAACACAGTTGACAGTGAGAGGACATTTCTTTTTTTTGCTGAGTTTATATGTATGTATACATACATACATACATACATACATACATACATACATACATACATACATACATACATACATACATACAGTGAGGGAAAAAAGTATTTGATCCCCTGCTGATTTTGTACGTTTGCCCACTGACAAAGAAATGATCAGTCTATAATTTTAATGGTAGGTTTATTTGAACAGTGAGAGACAGAATAACAAAAAAAATATCCAGAAATACGCATGTCAAAAATGTTATAATTTGATTTGCATTTTAATGAGGGAAATAAGTATTTGACCCCTCTGCAATACATGACTTAGTACTTGGTGGCAAAACCCTTGTTGGCAATCACAGAGGTCAGACATTTCTTGTAGTTGGCCACCAGGTTTGCACACATCTCAGGAGGGATTTTGGCCCACTCCTCTTTGCAGATCTTCTCCAAGTCAAGGTTTTGAGGCTGACGTTTGGCAACTCGAACCTTCAGCTCCCTCCACAGATTTTCTATGGGATTAAGGTCTGGAGACTGGCTAGGCCACTCCAGGACCTTAATGTGCTTTATCTTGCGCCACACCTTTGTTGCCTTGGCTGTGTGTTTTGGGTCATTGTCATGCTGGAATACCCATCCATGACCCATTTTCAATGCCCTGGCTGAGGAAGGAGTGTTGACGGTGGGGATGGTGTTCTTGGGGTCATAGGCAGCATTCTTCCTCCTCCAAACACGGCGCGAGTTGAGTTGATGCCAAGGTGCTCCATTTTGGTCTCATCTAACCACAACACTTTCACCCAGTTGTCCTCTGAATCAAACTTCAGACGGGCCTGTATATGTGCTTTCTTGAGCAGGGGGACCTTGCGGGCGCTGCTGGATTTCAGTCCTTCACGGCGTAGTGTGTTACCAATTGTTTTCTTGGTGACTATGGTCCCAGCTGCCTTGAGATCATTGACAAGATCCTCCCGTGTAGTTCTGGGCTGATTCCTCACCGTTCTTATGATCATTGCAACTCCACGAGGTGAGATCTTGCATGGAGCCCCAGGCCGAGAGAGATTGAAGGTTATTTTGTGTTTCTTCCATTGGCGAATAATTGCACCAACTGTTGTCACCTTCTCACCAAGCTGCTTGGCGATGGTCTTGTAGCCCATTCCAGCCTTGTGTAGGTCTACAATCTTGTCCCTGACATCCTTGGAGAGCTCTTTGGTCTTGGCCATGGTGGAGAGTTTGGAATCTGATTGATTGATTGCTTCTGTGGACAGGTGTCTTTTATACAGGTAACAAGCTGAGATTAGGAGCACTCCCTTTAAGAGTGTGCTCCTAATCTCAGCTCGTTACCTGTATAAAAGACACCTGGGAGCCAGAAATCTTTCTGATTGAGAGGGGGTCAAATACTCTATTCAACTCTTAAATCAATTTATAACATTTTTGACATGCGTTTTTCTGGATTTTTGTTGTTGTTATTCTGTCTCTCACTGTTCAAATAAACCTACCATTAAAATTATAGACTGATCATTTCTTTGTCAGTGGGCAAACGTACAAAATCAGCAGGGGATCAAATACTTTTTTCCCTCACCGTACATACACTGTTAAATAAAGGGAACACTAAAATAACACATCCTAGATCTGAATGAATGAAATAATCTTATTAAATACTTTTTTCTTTACATAGTTGAATGTGCTGACACAAAATCACACAAATTATCAATGGAAATCAAATTTATCAACCCATGGAGGTCTGGATTTGGAGTCACCCTCAAAATTAAAGTGGAAAACCACACTACAGGCTGATCCAACTTTGATGTAATGTCCTTAAAACAAGTCAAAATAAGGCTCAGTAGTGTGTGTGGCCTCCACGTGCCTGTATGACCTCCCTACAACGCCTGGGCATGCTCCTGATGAGGTGGCGGATGGTCTCCTGAGGGATCTCCTCCCAGACCTGGACTAAAGCATCCGCCAACTCCTGGACAGTCTGGTGCAATGTGGCGTTGGTGGATGGAGCGAGACATGATGTCCCAGATGTGCTCAATTGGACGCGTCTCCTTCCTGACCGGTATGACGGCTGCGTGGTCCCATGGTGTTATTAATTGCATATTATTGTTTGTACAGATGAACGTGGTACCTTCAGGCGTTTGGAAATTGCTCCCAAGGATGAACCAAACATGTGGAGGTCTACAATTGTTTTTCTGAGGTCTTGGCTAGTTTGTTAACAAGACATTTGTGGAGTGGTTGAAAAACTAGTTTTAATGACTCCAACCTAAGTGTATGTAAACGTCTGACTTCAACTGTACATACATACATACATACATACATACATACATACATACATACATATATACACACATATTTGCGAGGGAAAAAAAACATATATATATAATTGTGTGAGAACACCAACATACAGTATTTGGTGAGAATCACAACACAGGGTAAAAAAATCAATTCCAGCAATAGCGTACATTAGATGTACAATTTGAAATTGCAGCATTAGTTAATCTGCAGTTATTCTTCTATTTATTATGTTACCAATCATATTTATATGTTAATAGTGCCTTCTGATTACAATTATTGTCTACATTTTTTACAAAATGCAATTTATTAGCTTCCAAAATGTAACTAGGTATATCTAGCTGTCCAATAACACATTGATGGAATGGCTTGTCCTGCACTTTGTAAAAACCCAGAGTGCATTGAGTGAATGTTGGGAAAAGATCTTGGTTCCTTTCTAAACATAGCAATGTGAATGCAAAAAGGATTCGGACCACAGAATATGTGAAGTGAACTAGCAAAAGAGTTGAGTCCTCATCCAAATACAAGGGCAGTGTGAATACAAAGGAAACTTAGTTATTTATCAGTGAGGGGAACGGCACCTCCGTACCTTCAGGCTCTAATCAGTCCCTACACCCAAACGAGGGCATTGCGTTCATCCACCTCTGGCCTGCTGGCTCCCCTTCCTCTGCGGAAGCATAGTTCCCGCTCAGCCCAGTCAAAACTGTTCGCTGCTCTGGCACCCCAATGGTGGAACAAGCTCCCTCACGACGCCAGGACAGCGTAGTCACTCACCACCTTCCGGAGACATTTGAAACCCCACCTCTTTAAGGAATACCTGGGATAGGATGAAGTAATCCTTCTACCCCCCCCCCCCCCAAAATAAATAAATAAATAAATAAATAAATAAATAAATAAAAAATAAAGAAATATTGTAAATTGGTTAACCCACTGGCTATAGGGTGAATGCACCAATTTGTAAGTCGCTCTGGATAAGAGCGTCTGCTAAATGACTTAAATGTAAATGTATATTTAGCTTTTTTTTACCCCAGCGATCACATTAGAGGACTGAGATCTGTTGTTTTAAAGAGCACTATATGTGAACTCCCGTAGTCACTATTTTTGTTGACGGAATTAACATTTGTTGGAATGTTGTGTGCGTATCCCAACAACAGAATGGTGTGGGCGTATACTGGGCATTACAAATATTCAGTACCTGTCCAGTGAGATTTTCACTGGACAGGTACTTTAAATCGAAGTGATAACCTGTTAATTTAAGTGCCACATTTCTATAAGCATCACACACTAGTGTTGCCAGAAATCTTATATTCCTTAACTTTCTGGCTGGTGAAGACAGAGTTGTTTATTTCGTCTGTAGTCTGGAGCCTGCAGCCCAGAGCCCCCCTGCCTGACTCTCTGTGTAGAGCAGATGGAGGAGAAACAGAAACCGAGCAGGAGTAGTGGTGGAGCTCTTCAGGGAGGAGGGGGTTTGGCAGCACTGCCTCTCCTCTCACAGCACAGCACACCTAACCAATGTGCTGACTGACAAGGGAAGCCCCTCGCCCATGTGCTCTGCTGTGACCCCTGCACTGGACCTCACAATGGCAGCATAGAACGGTGGCGGGGCCGGCCCTTAGCGAGTCCTCCTCAGCAGCCCCCACCCCTGAACCAGATGCACACTTTGGTGGCAGCACTGTTTCCAGAGGCTCCCAGCAGCTGACAAGTGTGTCTTGTTCTGCTCTTTTCACAAGGGTTTTTCAGCTTCACCTAATGGAGGCCCAGGCCATTCTCCCACAGACCCACTTAGCTGCTGAAAGGGACAGTTGTGCTTGAAGTGCTAATGGGAAGAAATCCATGTGCAGCTCAGACATCAGCAATTTCTCATACGTTTTCTTAAAATGTAATTTTTTTTACAGAATGCAGCACTTTTGTTTTTAGTTTTTGAAATGGCTGTCCAAGACTATCTTTTTCTTAAAGAAGGGTTCATAGTTGTTACTTTTTCTCTTTTTAGATGAAAACAACATTAGGTATTGAATGAAATGTTTTGAAAAGTGCCTTCTTGCAATTGGAATGTGGCAGTTCACTGCCTGAATGGTTATAAATAGAGGTCTGGAGGCTTTTTAGCCCTCCTCCCAGCCTCTTTCCATCCCTCTTTTTCTCTTTTTCTGTGCTGGTGAAGGTGGCCTGTCTGGAAATATATTTATTTCTTCCTTTCTGTTGCAAAGTGAATTGCTTTTGGGTCCAAAGACATTTCCATTGTAAATGTTTCATGTGTGTGAGGGGTTAGGTCTTCATTAAATGTTTGTCATCTTCACACATTGCATAGCTTTCATGCACTGGCATGTGTGGCTCTGACACAATTTACATTATCATCCGATGTGGCTGAGAGAGTCTCTCTCAGGGGATGTTTATATATTCCATACCACTTTTACTCTAGTTTTTTAAAGAGAATTATGGCTTGGAATTCACCCTTTCCATCTCCAGAGGTAGCAACCTTTCAGAGTATGCTGCAAGAGGCACGTTTCAGTCAAAATGTAAAACGTTTTTAGATGGCATTTTCCATTGCTTGCTTGTTGTTGAGTAAATAGCCTAGAATAAGTCAAAGACTGGTTTAGTTCCACTCCGAACACTGATGTTATGTCCCACAGTTGTGGGATGCAATAGATCCCAAATTAATACAACCACTAGCATCAACAAACCTTTTTTACGCAATGTGGCTGACGCAACAGATCCGAATGTTTAGCTTAAAAAGTTGATAAACTATTAGGCTATTTCTTCAAATTATAAGCGCAGCAATGCGCACATGGCAGTAGGCTATAAGTGTGAATGTTCCATTAGCGAGTAAACACCATTATCAAAAGTGACTACAAATGTGATTATGCATGTAATGCTTTTATTGTAAAGGTGTATATTTATGGTGACAATTATCTTCCCCAAACTTGAAACTCACGCGCTGCTTATGTATGCTAGTTAGGCACTACACCCCTTGTAAAGCGGATTAATGAGCTTAATTTTAAGATGTTATTTGGACACTTTAGTTGTGATACAAACCTTATCAAAACATATAGGCCTATGGGCTAGGCTACATGAGATGTGCAACTATGATTAGAAAAAGTCGGGGGGGCATTGTTTCTTGCCTTATGCTGGGCATCATTCACAAGTGATAATATATAATTCACAAGTGATAGGCTAATATTGTCACCCATCAGACTATTCTTAATTTAATCTTGTCTTTACATATACTAAATAATATGTGTGAAATTGGTTTTGATTTAGAATTGACCATTATCATGCACCTTTCTCGAAACGGGGCCAGTGGGAAAAAATACATGTCCTCTATGCACTTAAATAGCGAATGGAGGACGCTTTTCCGGTTCATTTTCATGCCGTCCAGGTAGGCTATACTCCTTTTGTAAATATAAGCAATGTACTTAATATTAGGAAAGTTGAGAAATAAATATAGTAGGCCTAGCCTATAGAAAGCTGATGGGATCCTCCTCTTTTTAATAGAGGCCATCACTCAGTTTTTTCGCGCAATTGCATAGCCTATAGAAATGTTGCGCAACATGAGCTCATGGGTGTTTGATTAGATTTTCTAATACATTTGCATTGATGTCAGAGTGATTAGAGGGACTATAGAGTGCTGAGTACCAGGCAGATAGCAAGTTTGGTAGGCTACTAATGACCATCAGCAACATTAGAGCTTCGAGAAGCCTAATTACCATGACTAAACGGTCACGTGGAATTTGACTGCCTTCATGACTCGTGACAGCCGGTGTGGTGGTAATATGGTCACCGCAACAGCCCTACTAGAGGCTAGCTAACCTATTCCCTGGGCCAATAAAGCTAGCTTGCCAGGTAGCTACCAGTAACTATTAGCAAAGTCAGTTTTTCCCTCTGCCAGCCAACAGCTGACTCAACGGTTAACATGTTAATTTTTTAAGAATATTTGTTTTCATTTCAGCAATTTGGGAAATGTGATGTGCTAGATGCTCTGCTTAAGATTGCTGCATCCCTAGTTATAAAATAAGTGTTTAATTGTATGGCTAAAAGGCAACATTGTGCTGCCCTCTTCATTGACCTGTCAAAGGCTTTTGATACTGTTGATCACTCACTGCTAATTAATAGGCTTTCCTCAATTGGCCTAGACCAGGCTGCATGTAACTGGTTTAAGAATTACTTGACAGATACAACTCAATGTGTATCTAATGATGGTGTTAAATCAGGTTTCCTGGATATTACGAAAGGTGTCCCGCAGGGGTCGATTGTAGGTCCTATACTTTTTACTCTTTACATTAACAATATCGACTCTGTAAAGAAATTCTAACCTGCACTTGAATGCCAATGATACTGTTGTGTATGCTATTGCCCCCACGGTTGACCAGGCTCTCTCTGAACTACATTGACGTGAAATTAGTATTGAATGCAGGTAAAACTAAGTATATGTTCTCGAGAGTGCATAAAAATAACTCTGGTTTAAGCATATGCACTTTGGATGCTGTCCATATTGATCGTGTCCCTGCTTACAAGTATCTGGGCATCTGGATAGATGAAAAGCTGTCTTTTAAAAAGCATCTTGATGAGTTAGTTAAGAAGCTGTGAATAAAAATGGGCTTCTTCTATAGAAAAAGGTCCTGCCTCTCGATAAATAGTAGAAAGCAGATTATTCAGTCGATGTTCCTATCGGTCCTAGACTATGGTGACATCATCTATATGAACGCAGCTGCTACTTCATTAAAGCAGTTAGATGCAGTTTATGATATCGCACTGTGCTTTATTATGGGCGACAGTTTTAGCACTCATCACTGCATTCTCTACCAGAAGGTTGGTTGGCCCTCTGATGTCACGTAGGTTGATACATTGCTATGTTTTAATTTATAAAGCCCTTTTACAAAAAGTCCAACTGTACCTAACATCATTACTAAACTTTAGACATACGAGTTACCACACCTGGTCTCAGGGATGGCTAACTCTGGAAATTCCTTTGGTCTCTACTGAGTTATGTAAATCAGCGTTCAAATCTTCAAAATCTTCAGAAATGTCATGTTTTAGTGCCTCTAGGCCAATTCAGAACGCTGATTGAGGAACCTTTTTTAATGATGAATGTCGTTGTTTTTTATGACAGTGTTTTTTTTGTATTTTTATTTTGTGTGTATTTTGTTGTTAGATTTGTACATTTGTTACATTGGAACAGCAAGCAAAACAAGTAATGTTGATACATTGTATAATTTCATCACCTGTTATAACCAAGAGCACAGACCAGTCTGAGTAGACATTGCAAGTTCACTGTCATGCAACGCTTCATGACAGGCATGCTTGCAGCTTTAGAGAAAATATAATGGCTTGTCTCTAGCCTAAACGGTAAAAAAAGAAAAAAAGATGACTCATATTACCAGAGGTGTCTTTTGTTTCTTTCTATCGGGATTCGCACACATTTTATATAATTTCACAAACCATGTGGCTGGCCGTTTTAAACTAATAACAAACAACGTTGTTCGGTCATGTTACCTACTGTAGCTAGCTAACAACCTGGTGACTAGTCAAATTTGATTGGCACAGGAAGAAAGGAAAAGGGTCTGCTACTCATGAGATGTGCTTCAAAGGGTAGGATTCATATAGGCCTAATGTAAGCCTAAACTATATTTAAAAAATAGTGGTGGAAAAGTACCCAATTTGTCATACTTGAGTAAAAGTATAGATACCTTTTTAATAGAAAGTTACTCAAGTGAAAGTTAACCAGTAAAATACTACTTGAGTAAAAGTCAAAGTATTTGGTTCTAAATATACTTTATATTAAGCAAAGCAGACGGCACCATTTTCTTGTTTAAAAATTTACGGATAGCCAGGGGCACACTCCAACACTCAGAATGATGCATTTGTGTTTAGTGAGTCTCGTGGTAATGGCTGTTTCTATGGTTTCCATGTAATAATAATAATATGCCATTTAGCAGACGCTTTTTTCCAAAGCGACTTACAGTCATGTGTGCATACATTTTTACATATGGGTGGTCCCGGGGATTGAACCCACTACCCTGGCGTTACAAGCGCCGTGCTCTACCAGCTGAGCTACAGAGGACCACGTGTGTTTGATGTCATTCCATTTGTGCTGTTCCAGCCATTTATTGTGAGCCGTCCTCCCTTCAGCAGCCTCCAATGATGTACAGTGCATTCGGAAGGTATTCAGACCCCTTGACTTTTTCCATATTTTGTTACGTTTCAGCCTTATTCTAAAATTGATTAAATACATTTTTTCCCCTTCAAAATACACACAATACCCCAAAATGATCAAGCAAAAACAGGTTTTTCGAAATGTTAGCAAATGTATAAAATATTAGAAACATTATTTACATAAGTATTCACACCCTTTGCTATGAGGCTCGAAATTGAGCTAAGGTGCATCCTGTTTCCATTGATCATCCTTGAGATGTTTCTACAACTGGATTGGAGTCCACCTGTGGTAAATTCAATTGATTGGACATGATTTGGAAAGGCACACACCTATCTTATATAAGGTCCCACAGTTGACAGTGCATGTCAGAGCAAAAA